TGTCGGAGAAAATGCCTCAAGAGCGCCGCGACCAGGCCATCTGGCGATTGAAGAAGATGGTCATTGAAATCCAAGGCCATTCTGACTGTAAGTCATTGGGAAATCCACGCGAGCATCTTTCTGACCTATAGCTAACCTTGAGATTGTTTATAGACCAGCAGGCTATTCGGACTTTGCTTTCAATGGCCGAGAAGTATGGCAGTCACACCCGTAACCTTTCTCAGCAGGGTGCTGGGTCAGTCCAGGGCTTCCGAAGCGGTGATAAGATCCAGAAAATGGAAACAAACCTGAGGGTAGGTCATCCCAGGCTGGATGTCTGCGTACAATCACTAACATGACATATAGACTCTGCTTGAGCGCTTCGCCAATAGCACTTCTCTTGACAACCTCTTCGACTCCCTCGACAACATTTACCGAGATGCGGACAGAGACCCCGAACTGAAGGGATGGTTCCGCAACATGGACACATTCATTAGGTATGTATAGATTTTGGCCAACACAGGAACTTCGCTAACGATTGATCTAGAAAAACTCTGACTGAGCAGGGTTACATTATGGAGGATGACTGCACCCGTCAGTGGAACCAGTTGAATGAGCACGGACGATACCTACTGCGTGACCGCTACAAGGACCACACAGATCGCATCTTGGATGAGATCAAGTTCATTGGTGATCAATTCAACCAAGATCCCCAGAACCTGGCATTCAGAAGCTCCTTGGAGAAGCTCTTCGAAGACCTTGGTCGGGACTCGAGCGGCAATGTGGCCTTCAAGAAGCATCTTCTCAAGGATATTCGGGATGTCATCCTCCCTGCTGCCTTTGAGAATGTGCGTTACGTCCCGGTCCCACGGATCGAAGTGTCTGACCCCTCAGCTGATGTGGTTGTGGAAAACCTCGTCATTGAGAGCGACAACTTGATGCCAAACGTGGTTGAATTCGGCAGCGACAACTACTTCCGCTGGGGACGCAAGAAGATTAGCAGCAAGAGAGACAACAAGATCATGATCTCTGTCTCGGGGATCCAAGCCGATCTTAGGGATGTCAGCTACTATATCAACCGAAAGCAGGGATTCCCAGCAATCACTGACACCGGTATCATGGACATCTTCTTGGGTGGTGAAGGTTTCGGGTTCAAGATCGCGGCCTCTACTGCCCAAAAGGAGGATAGTCAGCACTACATCAAGCTTGACAAAGTGTCCGTCAAGATTGACTCTTTCAACGTGAAGCTGAAGAAGTCGAAGCATAAGGCACTTTTCACCATCTTCAAGCCTCTGCTCTTCCGTGTCGTTCGTCCGACCCTACAGAAGGTCATTGAACAGCAGATTCGGGATGCGTTCGCCAAGGGTGATGCCCTTGCGTACGAAATCCAATCTCGGGTCAACGAGGCTAAGGAGGCCAGCCGCGAGGACCCTGCCAACGCCCCCAATATCTACTCCCGCTACCTGGATGCTTTCCGTGCCCGTGGCGAAGAGAAGGCTCGCAAGGCCCAGGCCCAGGCCCAGGCTGCGGCCCAGCGTGGTACCAAGGTCCAGACCGCTACTACTCTTCACGATTCCATCTTCCCCGACATCAAGCTTCCTGGTGGTATCTCCAGCAAGGCTACGGAGTACAAGGAGTTGGCCATGAAGGGTGAACGCTGGGAGTCCCCTGTCTTCAGCATTGGCAGTGCGTCCGAGTCTACCGATATTCCCAAGCCGGCAAGCATCTCCCGCAAGCGCCGCTCCCCTCTTGAACAGGGCCCAACTACTGGGGCAGGCACTAATGGCTCTGCGGCTTTCGCTGACGGAAAGCCGACCACCGGAGGAGTGGCAGCTCTTGATGGCCGGGCGGTCAATGGCTCTCACGCCCTAGGCACCAACGGCTACACTAACGGTCACACCAACGGGCACGCCAATGGCCACACTAACGGTCACACTAACGGCTACACTGCCGGTACCAACGGCTATTCCAATGGCCACTCCAAGCCCTATGACCATGTGGCCGCCTCCCGCGGCTTCTCCGACGAAGTCAACCAAGCGTTCGGCAATGGCCACACTAACTTGACTGCCAATGGCCGTCCCACTGTCCCTGGTGCTCAGACCGCATTCAACCCCCAGACCGCTTAAGCTACGCCTGAAGGACTGGACCCAAGACAATTCGCAAAACAATGACGGCTTGCTGGGATTCCCTCAAAAAAACCAAAGTAAACGAAGCTCGGTTTACCACGCTAATCAGCTCTTTTCTTATGTCTTGTTCTCTATTTCCTGTTATTGATACCGATACCTGTTTGTCAGTACTGCGTACTGGGATTTCTCTGTGTCGCACTCTTTTCTCTCCACTTCCATACCACGTGTATTAATGATTGTTTATGTCGGTTGATTCCCTGCTCTGGTTTGTGATTTATGTTGTGAGATATCTCAGTAGTTAATGATTAATCCATTGGATCTGTGATGTCATTCTATTTAACTTGTCTTTCAAGTGTAGAAGGTTCCGCCCAAAATATCCTACCAACAATGGGAATATATCCAATGATGCAAAATTACAGTACACACACTCCTGCATCCGCCTCTTCACTTTAGATTATTTGGGGAAACTGCAGTGATTGAAATCATAAGCCCAGAATGGCATTGAACAACTTTATCTCTCCTATCCCCCATCCCCTTTCTATCTTCTATTTACCCATACCGTATCCGATCATAACCATTAAAGAAAAAGAGAATTTTAAGCCAAGGACAAAAGTAGAAAGCAACAACAATTTTACATCTGCTCAAAGTACTTTTCCCAGCCCAGCTCCTGCAGTTTCGTACCCTTCAGCTCCATGTTCTCGGCGCGAGCACTCTCAGCGTAGGCCTCGACCTTCTTCTGGATGGCCGGGTCAAAGGCACCGAGGATGCGGGCGGCCAGCAGAGCCGCGTTGATGCTGTTGTTGATGCCGACGGTGGCGACGGGGACGCCTATTGTATGGTCGCGTTAGCCGGGGTGATGCATTAAGTGAAAGTGATGGTGAGGGGAGGTATGCGGGGGGTTTTGGGGAAAGATATGTTGTTGCCGATTATGCGTGTACATAGGCAAAAGGTTCATTGGGGGTAGAGTTACCTCGAGGCATTTGCACAATGCTATACAGACTGTCGACACCATCCAGCGAGCTACCCTTAACGGGTACGCCGATGACAGGGAGGGCGGTGTGCGCGGCAGCCATGCCGGGGAGGTGGGCGGCGCCACCGGCGGCGGCGATGATAACCTTGATTCCGCGGGCCGCGGCGCCGGCGGAGTACTCGGCCATGAAGGTGGGGGTGCGGTGGGCGGAGGTGATGTCGACGGCGGGCTCGATGCCGAAATAGTCGCGCAGGAGCTTGAGGCCGGGGACCAGGGTCTTGAGGTCACTGTCGGAGCCCATGATCACGGCGACCGAGGGGGCGGGCTTGGAGGGCCCTGAGGAGGACTGCGGCTTGGTCTTGACGTCGCTGCGCTGGGCGCGGATCTGGTCGACGACCTCGATGAGCGGCTGGATGTGGGTCTCGGCTTCGTGCATGGTGGCAGCGGTCACAGTGATGTGGCCCATCTTGCGGCCGGGTTTGGCGGCGCCCTTGCTGTAGAGATGGATGCTGGCGTTGGGGATGGAGAGGGCGTGTTCGGCGGCGGTGAGGTGGGTATCCGGAGCGGCGCCGCCGATGATGTTGAGCATGATGGAGGGCTGGCGGAGCTCGAGGCTCTTGGGAGGAATGGGGAGGTCGAGGATCGCGCGCAGGTGGGCTTCGAATTGCGACATGGCGCATCCTTCGATGGTGTAGTGACCCGAGTTGTGAATCCGACTGGCAATCTCGCACAGGAGAAGGCTGTCATCCTCCAAGAGGAACATCTCGACACCGAAGGCACCCTTGCCGTCGAACGCGGCGACGGCCTTGCGGGCCAGTTCTTGGGCCTTCTGGTTGATCGCATCGGAGACGTTGCGGGCGGGGGCGTACACGAGCTTGCAAACCGAGTCTTCTTGGACGGTTTCAACGGTGGGGTAGGAGAGGACGGTGTCCTTGGTCTTGACAACCATGACGGCAAGTTCCTATACAATTGCCGGTCGTTAGTGTCGTATACTTCGTGGTATGTGTGGCGGGTTGAGGGGAAAGGGGCCCGAGGACGAACCATCTTGAAATAGGCCCATTTCTCGGCATACAAGGGCCGGCCCTTGAGAGCTTCCAGAGCTTCGGGGATGTCCTCTTTCGTGCGCACATGGAAGTTTCCTGGTTATGCCATAAATCTCGTCAATGATCCTGCACCAGAAGGCGTTGGCAGAGAAAGTATGACTCACCGCGTCCATCATAAGCCATAGTCTTCGACTTGAGCATCATAGGATAACCCAACTGCTCGCCCACCTTAGCCAGTTCCTCTGGTGTGTTCTCAGTAAGCTCGCGATGGTCAGCCATGGGGATGCCGTATTGTCTGAGGTGCTCCTTCTGGTCGAACTTGTTCTGAATCGTGCGAATCGCCTGCCAGCTGGGCTCAATCTTGACCTGGGAAGCGATCTCCTCGAGAGCGTAGGTATCGACGTGTTCAATCTCGGCGGTCACCACGTCGCAGGACTTAGCCAATTCACGGACGGCTTCACGCTCCTTGAAGGAACCGGTAACGTGGTCGTCGTGGGAGCTGATCTGCTTGGCCGGGGAGTTCTCCGCATCGAGGACATTGCATTGAATATTGAGTCGGTTGGCGGCCTCGACCATCATACGGCCCAATTGGCCTCCACCAAGAATTCCGACCTTCGGGGAGTTCCACATGTTGCTGGTGGATTTTGTTAGACCGACAAAATGCACGACGGAGCAAATATAAAAAAAGTTGACGGGGAAGCGACGAGCGAAGGCCGAAAACGGAGAGGATCTGGGGAAGGAGAAATTGAGCCCCTCAGTCACGTGGGGTCCCGATAAGCGGCTGTCGGGGCCAATCACAGTGGGTGGTTGCCGGGGAGCCGCTCTTCCTCCCCGCGCGCGCGCGTCACGAGCCGTCGATTAATCAATCAATCAATCACTCAATCCATCAATTAAACAAATTGCATCACATTGCTTTCCTGCGGTCTCTTATCTCTTGCTTACCATTCTCCTGCCTTTTCAAACAAAGGCAGAAGTTATTGTCGTGATTATGTCGCTTGGTAAGTCTCTGCGCTGCAGTCCAGTCTTCAGTTATCCCTTCACAAGCTAGTCTAGCTCAAGTCCGCATCCTTATACAACTTGGATCACATCTTGCTCACTCAGCGCGTATTTCAGACGAAGAGAGCCTCGAGACCGCTGCCAATGGCGGTACCATAGACCCGTATGCTAGCCTATCTGCTTGACTCGTCCATACAACGCTGATATTATCCCTGCCAGCTCGAAATGGCCCAACATTGTTGAACCGCTCCTTGAGCGACTCCAACATGTGCGCAAGCCCCAAGATACCACACGCGCGTCTAGATCACCGAGTCACTGACAAGCATCCGGTCCAACAAGAACGTCTACAATGCGTTCCCCATGCCCCGCGTGCCCGCAGCACCAGCGCAACCACCCACTCTCCCCTCCGCCTCCACCATCCTAGCACAAGATCCCACCCCTACAACAAACAACAGCACCGACAGCACCAGCGCCGACACGAGCAAACCCCCCAACCTTCAAACCCCACCGCGACCAACAGCCACCTCCCCAACCACGACGCCTCTATCCAGTAGCGAACGCATCCCGGACTCCCAGCCAGGCCCATCATCATCATCAATCTCCACCAACGCACCCACCCTCCCGGCGCCCCTCGACCATCTCCTGACAGCCATCGCCACCAACATCCGCACACTCTTCCCCTCCAAACCGCCCCACACCATCCAGCGCCTCGCGGAGCTCATCCTCCGTCCTACGGCGCACTACCGCACCCTCCCGGCGTACCTCCGCGCCGTCGACCGCGTCGTCTCCGTCACCAGTCCCGCGGATATCTTCCCCTTCCAGACCACCACCGGCACCCAACAACCAGTGCTGTCTCACCACCAACAGCCCAACGGCACCCTTAACGGCAGCGCGACGGCGGCGGCGGCGGCGGTCGAACCGAGCTTCATGTTCTCCGTCGACAACGCCCTGGGCAGCGACGAGTCGCTTGGCGGGGCGCTACTCACCCCGATCCCGTGGTTGCACAACGCTGCGTCGTCTCCCGACGGGGAAGGCGACCAAGAAGCCGCGGGTGGTGGCGTTGTAGGCGTGATCGGGCAGAGTGAGACTGGGTTTGCGGCGGCGGCGGAGACCACTACAATCGGCTCAGGGGGTAGTCTTGGTGGTGGTGGAGGAGAGTCTACGACCGCCACGACGACGGGAGAGATCGATCCTGAGAACGAGGTGATGGGCGGCATGGAGTCGGTGCCCACCGAGCCGGTCGTGGAGGACGTTCCGCATGCGCGGGGTCCGCCTGTCGTTGGGGTCGAGGATCTGGGATTACAGGATGGGAAGGGAGTGGAGATGAATCTCGATGGCGCGGCGGAGAGTGGCCAGCAGCAACAGCAGCAGCAGGACCAAACTCAGAAGGAGAGCCAGGAGTCGGCTGCGGGACTGCAGGGTGGCCCGCAGCAGCAGGAACAACAGTCGAGTCAGGGAGAGGGCCAGGCTCAGGAAGGTAATGCTAAGCCTGGTACAGATGGCGATGGAGACATTGCGCTGGAGGATGCCAAGGCGGAAGAAGTGTCTGCGACAAGCGACAAGGACCAGCAGCAGCAGTAGAAGCAAGGTTGAGGGGGGCTATGGATTGGCGTCTATCTGTGTCAAAATTCAAAATATGATTTAGCATTGCATGCATATCTATGAACCTGCATTAATGGTGAGCGAGGCATGTACTTGGCTTACAGGCTCGAATGTGGAGCCTGGAGGTCCTTGCGTCCTTCCGATAAGTGCCACGACAGGGAAAATACAGAGGAATACAGTAATCAAGGAACTTCAATTCTCATGTTGAAGGATGATCATCCAATTGTTGCGGTATAAGATTTATAGGCCGTCGGAAAGAAGGCGTTCTACCTGAAATAGGGAGAAATCAAAAGAAACGAAAATCATACAACACCAAGATAGCACCATTCGCTGTCCATGAAACCAAGGAAAAACAAAACAAAGAAACGAAAATCAGATCATTAGAGGGTCGTGACATGCAGAGAGATATGCAATATATGGCCAAAATGCCAATGCTCATAGACAACCAGTGACAAGACAATCATTATATACCCAGAAGAATTGTGCGTCTAACACAGGAGGACTCAGGCTGGTTCCACCGTTTGGAGAGGGACGTAGCGGCCCTCGTCCAAGTCGGAGCCTCGGGCTCTCTTGCCCGTGACAAACGACCAAACCTCGGCGCCAGTGTTGCGAATCCAGTGGGATGATGATCGGCCACCGGAGGAGGAGCCGGTGACCGAGAGAGTCGCGGCCCACCAGCTCTTCTGCGAGGACTTGAAGTCGGTGTTCGCTTCTGAAATCTCCTTGAGAAGCTTGTCAGCGTCCATCCATTTGGGACGGCGCCAGAGTTTGAGGAGAAGACTGCTAACGACAACTGAGACACTGGAGGCAGCCATGGCGGCACCGGCGGCCATGGGGGGCAGCATGAACCCGAAGGGAAGGAAGATGCCCATGGCAAAAGGCAGTCCAATGACGTTGTAGAGACATGCCCACATCAGGTTCAGCTTGATTCGGTTGAACACCGACCGGGATAGATACAAGCTTGCTGGCACAGACAGCAGGTCATCGGGCCGCATGAGAACGACGTCGGCTGCTTCCATGGCAACATCGGTTCCAGAGGCAAGCGCAATACCGACAGACGCAGTAGCCAGGGCGGGAGAATCGTTGATGCCATCACCAACCATGGCCACTCGATCGCCGGCCTCTTGCAGCGAAGCGACAATAGCTTGCTTGTCCGAAGGGGACACGGAAGCGTGGACTGCATCGGTCGAAATGCCGACAGCTGCAGCGATCGAAATGGCAGTTGCATGGGTGTCACCCGTGATAAGGGATGTCATGATGCCCATGCGATGCAAAGCCGCAACTGCTGCCGGAGCGCTGCTTTTCACAGTATCCCGAAGCGAGATGGTACCGGCATATTGGCTATCAATGGCGACGTGGATCTGGGTGATACCAGCAGGAGCTTTGGCATTGATACTTTCCATATCATCTGAGGATTGGGGCTCGGCAGATTCTGGGACTGCAACGTCTCTGGATCGCAGAAAAGTAGCATTACCCACCAGAACGCGGTATCGGATGCGCTCGGCACTAGAGGTTGGTTCGACCAGTGCAGAGATACCTTTTCCGACAATGGCTTCGACGTCACCCAAGCTTCCTGGAAGACCGCCGTCTCCGGGATTACCTGACTCAGTCTGAGCGGCGGCAAAGATGGCTCTTCCAATAGGGTGTTCGCTGCTCATCTCCGCAAGACCAACAATAAGCCACCATAATCGACGCCGCCAGTCGTTCGCAGTCCACTGGGGCTCAATTCTGGTTTCTGCAACGCTCATCTTCCCGGTTGTCAAGGTCCCCGTTTTATCGAAAACCACATGAGTGATCTTTGTAGCGGCTTCGAGAACAGCACCACCCTTGACGAGAATACCCTGCTGCGCACCTACACCTGTTCCAACCATGACGGCAGTGGGCGTGCTCAAACCCAGGGCACAAGGACAGGCGAAAACAATCACCGAAATGCAGAGTTTCAGACAGACCATGACTTTGCCCCCATTACTTTCTGCTAAGAAAACCTTGGGTGGATGGGGCAGAATATGGCTCATAAACATCCAGCCGAAGAAGGTGACCAGGCCAAGACTGATGATAGCCGGCACGAAATACCCGGCTACCACATCGGCCATACGTTGAATGGGAGCTCGACTCGTTTGGGCATCCTGGACCAGTTTGACGATCTGACTAAGCTGAGTGTCTTTACCTGCGCGTGTGACCTTGAAGTCCATCGAGCTTGTCCCGTTGACTGTTCCGGCAATAACAACACTGCCCTTGGATTTGTGGATAGGAAGGGCTTCACCCGTGATCATACTTTCATCGACATAGCTTTCGCCGCGAATGACGATACCATCTGCCGAGACTTTATCTCCGGGGTGGAGCATCACGATGTCCCCAACTTCGATGAGCTCAGTAGGGATCAGTTTTTGCCCAGGGCCCGAGGTCTCATGTGCTGCGGGATCCGACTGTCTGTCCTCCAATGGTGAGGTCTTGGTATCCCACTGCTCAGCCATTTTCTCTGCCGCAATAGGGTCATCGTAGATAGTAGTCATTGAAGGCGCCAAGGACATGAGTCGCGAAAGTGCAGCCGAAGTTTGACCTTTAGCTCTGTTCTCCAACCATCTTCCCAGCGTGATAAATGTGATAAGCATCGTGCTTGTGTCAAAGACCGTGCTAGGCCTCGAGTGACCACCCGAAAACATCGCGACGATCATGGTGAAAATGCTGTAGAAAAATGCCGCGGATGTACCCAGCATGACCAGAACATCCATGGTCGGTGACCGATGTTTCAGAGATTTATAGCTGGCCACATAAAAGCGCTTTCCAATGCCGAACTGAATTGGGATAGTAAGTAAAAGGCAAGCGACGTCACCCAAGTAGAGACCGCAAAAAAGCGGGACACGACCGAAATCAAGTGCGGGAAGGTACATGGGTAGAATCATGTTGATGAGGAAGACCGGGACGGCGAATGAGGCGGAGAAGAGGAACGCGCGTTTCCACTCCTGAACCTCCTTGGTTTTCGAGAGCGAATCGAGTTGCGCATTCGTGTCATCTGACTGCAACACCAAGGCATTGTATCCAGCTGCCTCGATAGCTTCGACGATCGATCGGATACCGACCATGGAGGAATCGAAGGATACTTTGATTCGGGAGGAATCGAAGGATACTTTGATTCGGGAGGAACTCATGTCCACGGAGGCCGAAGACACGCCAGGCTTTTGGAGGAGGTCATCCTCCAAGCACGTTGCCGAGGCAGCATCGCGCACACCGTGAAGACTGAGGGTAACTTGGCCGACACCCTTCGACGAGAGGTTTTGCGCTTCGGAAGATACTAGGGCTGTATCGAAACCCGCATCGTCGATAGTATTGAGAATCCTCTGAACTGGTAGAACAGACGGGTCGTGAACAAGAGTCGCTCGTTCCGCAAGTAAACTGATGTTGAACTGCACCAATCCATCCACTCCATTAAACGCATTTTGTATGCTCGCGGTGCATGCACCGCATGTCATGCCGTCTATAGATACCGTGGTGACCATCAGAGAGGATTTTGATCCCGTCAATTCCTGCAAAGATTGAGAGTTATCCTGAGCCGTGGAGGTTTCCAGCACTTTTGCACCAAAGCCACGATCTTCAATCAGCTCTGCAATTTGATCCGGGGTGATGACCGAGGCATCGTGTTCGACAACGGCGCGCTCCGAGAGTAGAGACACGCTGACTGAACGAACACCCGATGCCTCGTTCAATCCTCCTTCGACCGCGGAGGTGCAAGCGCCACAAGTCATGCCTTCCACTGCCAGTGTCGTGGTTGATATGGAGGATTTCGCCGTGCTTTCGGTCGGTAGGGATGAGCTGTCCGTGGAGATGACCTTGGCGTCAAAACCGCTATCATCGATAATTTCGGCGACCTTCTCCGGTGGGAGCAAGCTCGGATCGTGGTGCACAACGGCGCGGCCCATCATCAAGCTCACGGTCACCTCGCCGGCGCCTTCCACTCCCTTGAAGGCCCCTTCGACAGCGGAGGTGCAGGCGCCACACGTCATACCCTCCACACTAACCGTAGTGGTAGCCATATGAGCGGGCGATCGATCGTTGAGAGAGCCATGGTCTCCGTCGCGGAGCAAGGCGGTTGATGAGGCCGCCATGTCGCACGGGTTTGGTGGTTGGTGGTGACGACCAGGCGAAGAAAGATTGTCGGCTGGCGGCAGTGTTATCGCATAAGAACGTGGGTTAGACGGGAGGGGGATGGATTGCTGACGGAGCGGGTGTTCGGGAGGGTAATATATGAATGAGTAGCTAGACTAGCAGTAACGGAGGGAACCGCAGGTTGTCATGCAAGGATCGCTGGAGACTTAGCTATTGATCATGTAATAATAAGATGGATTTATATTGAGACTAAGAAAGTAGTACCAATAATGGACCTAGCCTGTGCAAAGACCGGATGGGGCCGGAAGAGACAGATTTGGGATTTCCAGTTGAAGAAGAAGACCGGGCGCTGCAGAGTGCAGTCAGCCCGAATCCATCACTCAATAGACTAACAGAATAATAGCATAACAATCGTCTCGCAAAGGAATGCCAGGGTAGGCAATCAACGCCGGTTAGGGATTGAACAAAGAGTGGGAAAAGTGGCCCACGTTGTTTTTTTCTTTTTTCTTTTTTCTTTTTCTTATTTCTTTTTTGTCCTTCTTTCCTTTTCTTGATTGTTCTGGATAATAACAATAAGAGAATCCAATGGAGAAACCCACTTGGTGAGTTGATCGAGGAAAATTACCTCCGATTTCTCTCCACTTTCAAGGAATGCCCGTCCCCGCTTACGTGTGAAAAGTCCCCATGCTCTACGCCCATTCGTGTACTGTATCGTCGTCGGCAGTCGGCTCTGCTACGTACATATGAGTACAAAACTATTATCAATCCATGAACCATCATCTGTATTCCGGTTGATTCAACCTCCGTTCAAAGTCTGGATTTCGATATGATTTGAACAACCGAGGCTGCAGGCTGCAGGCTGGCCAGACAAGTCTCATCCCGGAACACGAAGAATGGTCATGATCAGCCCTGCATGCCAGTCAGCAAGGAGTATTCCGTTTCTGGAATCAGGTCTCTTTGAATTCAGAAGCAGACTTGACAACCAGTCATCAGGCAATCCGAGCACCTGGAGGAGCTCAACACCACCAGGTCTTGTTGTATCTCGAACTGGGTATCACCATTGCGTAACGAGAGATCGTTTGGCGGCCGTCGGACTCCGCAGACCAGGTAGCTAGGTGTAAGACATGCGAACCCCACCTCGTTGAAAGAGGAACAATGCTGTGTGCAGACTTGGCTGAGACACCCGGGTCATTTTGAATGATATTGTGCTTTTGCGAACGTTTTCAAGTATCGAAACCGTTAGATCTAGACAACCTGTCATGCTTAGCTGTCAAGAAAAGACAGTGGAAGGGTTCTGGGGTTGAAACATCGGGTGGCTCTGACGTTTCAACTATAGAGCTGTAGCTCCTGGAATGGTTCCAGACTTGAGATTGCAGTGGTTCTCAATAGATGAAAGTCGACCAGAGCCTCACCTCAGTCGAAACGCCCATTGAAGCGAGCGACTCCGAGGCAGTCCTGACAAGAACGATAGCAAATTGGAGAGCCGAAAGTAGAGACTGCAGGATGTATTCCATTAGGTTGGATGCCTGTTTGTAGAGTCCCGGAATCACATGGCCGGATGTCACTCCCACCATGTTTGCATCGCAGGCAAACACCGCCATAACATCCATCCCAGCATCGGTCATCGATTCAACGATTCATCCCACCGACCGCCGACAATTACCGGCACCTCCGAGCTGATTTTCCATTTTAACTGCTTATCAGCGCTTGCAGAAACTGCAGACGCAACCATCTGAGGCTTACCTTCAGCTTCTTGGATTCATCACAACCGGCCTAGACAGCCAAGGCAATCGAACGAGTGTGATATTGAGCCATCGTATTCCAGGTCGCCGACAGACAGCAAGCATGGACCAAATCCACACCCGGGCCATCGAGGCTCTCCAGCCGTTCATCGCTCTCGCCAATTCGTCCAGCGCCAACTCTCCGCGCTTTGTCGCCAATATCATCACAAATGCAACCTCCAACCCACATACGTTCGTCTTCGCAGAGCTCCTGGAGACCGCGGCCGTCCAAGCCCTCCGCTCCCCGGACACCCCAGCAGAATACCAGAGCTACCTGACGTTGCTCGAGATCTTCGCCTGGGGCACATGGCAAGACTACCAAGGTGAGTTTTCTCTAACATATCTCCTTCCCAAACCGTGGCAACACAACGCAAACACAATGCTCAGCACACTCAATCACTCTCACAGAAACACCCAACCTGCCCGCTCTCAGCCCGGCCCAGACTCTCAAACTCCGCCTCCTCACCCTCCTCACCCTCTCCTCCACCATCCAACCCCTCACCTACACCGCCCTCATGGGCGCTCTCTCCATCACCGCCCCCGCCGACCTCGAATCCCTCGTCACAACCGCCATCTACTCCTCCCTGATCACCGCCCGCCTCTCGCCGGCCTCGACCCCTCCGACCGTCAACGTCACCGCCATCGCCCCGCTCCGCGACGTCAGGCCCCAGTCGCTCTCCAGCATGATCACCATCCTTACGCAATGGGAGACGCGCTGCGGCGACGTCATCAGCGACATCGAGGCCGAGATCGCCAAGATCAAATCTGAGTCGGCGAAGCGGCGGGCCAAGGAGCATGAGCGTAACCTGATCTTTGAGCAGACGCTGGCCGCGTACCGGGCGGAGGCCGCTAGTGCTGCCGGTGGAGGCGAGGGAAGCGCGGCCGGCGGGGCGCGGAAACACTGGGGCCAGCAGCAGCAGGCCTTCCGAGGTGGCGGCCTCGGCGGCAACAAGCGCGAGTTTAGTGCGGACGAACTGGATGATGATGACGGGTATTGGGAACATGGCAATGACTACGATAGTATTCAGGCTTTAGGGGGGTCGAGGATGGACATTGACGAAGGGTCCGGCTTCGGGAGAGCGGCGGGGTCAGGAGTGGCCGGGGCCCGACATCCAAAGCGGATCTTGGGGAAGAAGTCGTAGGTGCTTTCTTTCTAGCACGAGAGGTATGTGTTGGGTCGAAATGAAAGGGTTCGAAAGTACTTATTGATCTCGCCCTGCTTACGCATCGATACCATCATACTGCATGAATATGACCATCCTATTCGCAAGACACAGAAACACAGCGACGGGGCCATCAAGGTTCAATAGACTATCCCTACTGTGAATTATGTCCACGTTCAACCAGAAGAACAAGAAGAAAAGTGCAAGAGAAAGCAACGCTCCATGTTCTCATAACTTTGGGTATTCGTTCATCACACACACACACACAGAACCAAACGCCAATTAGCAACGCCTACGCACCAAAAGACTACACAACCACCTATTCAGTGATTCTCGGCCAAATGCTAGAGGGATGTCAGCGCCCGAGTGTCCGTAGCCCATGCAAAATCCAGGGAAGGAGACTAGTACTTACCGACCACTCCGGAATGTTTCGTATCTGCTGCCACATGAACTTCTCCAGCTTGTTGGCACTCTTGGCATACGGCGTGTTCTCGTTGTTGTACCTTCGGCAGTTGTCGAAGATCAACATGGCATCCTTGATGAAGTCTTGCGGCGTCGGGTACATATCCTTCTCGTGTTTCTCCTCCATCGTCGACAGGTCCATGGGTTCTTTGATGACTTCGTAGTAATCCGGCACTTCGTCTCGGTTGACCGGTTGTGTGAACGGCCACGCGGCACTGTGGTTCTGCATGTCATTGAGCAGATGCAGAAGTTGGTTGTAGTTCGGCCCGTGGCGGGGCTGGCGGGCCAACTCGTCCATATCGGGCGACCATCCCGACTCTTTGATAGCTGGGATCAGCAAGGGATCGATCTTGCATGCTCCGTTCTTCCACTCTTTGGGGGGCGCATGGATGATGTGTGACCGACTGAACGCCCGGATCTTCGCATGGACCGCCTCCTTCTGTTTGAGAAGCATGCGGCCAACCTCGAGATAGCGTATCGTGGGCAGCATGGTACACTGCATGATTGTTCCTCCCTCGTAATCCTTGATGTATCCCATCCAGACAGACTTATCCAGCGTGATTTCTTTAGTGAAACCCTGCTTCTTGAAGTATCCGATAGCGTAGTTATCAGCGTAGGTTAGGAAATGCATGATGTCCGATGTCGCCTTGACGTAATCCTGTATGACAAACGCGTCAATAGCTGTTTTCCCTCACCAGGAAGATTGCATGCTGACCTTTAGATGGGACATGAGATGCGCACCATATCCTTTGACTTGCTGGTCAGAAGAGATGGCACAGAAGACGATCTCGGCGAAGCGGCGACTGTTGAATGGACGGTATGTGATGCCTCTGCATGGCCCATTAGCCCAGTCCAATACCCCAATTACCTACCCATCACACATATACGCACCCGACCACTTCCAGGGGATGCTTGACGATTGCGATAGACAGATGCGACCGGTCGTAGACTAAGCGCGCGATATAGTCCTTGGGCATTTTGGGGAGTTGTTTCTGGAAGATACACTTGAGACCGGTGAGGACGACGAAACTGTCGCGCGAGCCATCGTTGTTGACCACACGAAACTCAATCTCACCACGACGCTCTTCGAGTACGGCCGGCTGTTATGGGTTGGAATTGTTAGTCTCATCCATAGCCGGGGCGGAGGTGCTGCGCAAGCTTACCTTCTCCGGGAACGGGACAATCCTCATGGGCGGCTTATCGAGGGGTTCATCTTCTGTCTGAACACCGAAGAGATCAGTACAGCGTTCCAGTCATCACCCTAACATTCCAATTTTGATATGCCCACCTTGAGCTCCTCCCCCGGAGAATCGGTGCGCGCTTTCTTGCTCCGTTGCTGCGAATCTGGGGAAAGGGCCTCCTCCGAAGCTTTCCGCTTGGTAGCTGGACCTCAATCTAATTTAGTAACGACTCCAGCTGCCTGACCGCGAGCTTCAACTCACTCTCTGATGTAAGTGCCGGCATAATGTGAATTGCGACTGTTTTCAAGAAGGGAGATTCTGAACGAGCGACTGACTGACTTGACGTGGAGCTGAGGCAAGTAGCGCGCGGGCGTCCCTCTCGGCCTCTCCACCTGCTGCCGATACGGGGGGGGGAAACGGTCTGGAACTATATTGATCCGGCGCAGTTAAGCCAGATAACCATTTCGATGATTACGACAACAGCGAACTAGTTACGTTGCTAGGACTCTATATCAAAGCAATCTTCTCTTCTGTTTCATTTTGTGAAGCGTTTCTCTTGTTCCTAACAAAGCCTTCCTCTACCAAATTGTTCTTGTTCGTCACGCCTCAATGTCTCTGAACCAAGTCTGGGAGGCAGCTTCTGCGAGCCCTTATTCTCCCCTTATCGCGAAAGATAGCCAGTTCTTCGTCGGCTTTAGTCTCCTGCTTGCTGGTGAGCTCAACCTGCCTCTTGTCGCTATTATACTGTCCGGTTACTGACCTTTCAACCCATTAGCCTTCATACTTACTGGTCTCTTTGGATTGAGTCAGTGACCGACCCATTAAGATTCGAATTTGACCTTATTCTCGCCATGTGCTTACCAATTGACCAGACCGTTCATTCACCAGCATTGCCCTGTTCGGCGTCCCAGCATCGCTGGCGTTTGGGTAAGAAACACGCCCGCGGTCCCACCAAATCGGCCATGACTAACGTCCGTGGAACAGCTTCGGAGCCGTCTATATGATCTGTGCCGTTGGAGTTTACGTTTAAAGTTCCAGTTACCTCCTCTGATACCCATGTACCATATCCTGGAAAGTTGAAAACCAAAAAAACGAAGCATATATCTACACCACCTTTGTTTCTCTCTCTCTCCCTCCCTCATTGCACTCCTCATATAACCTATTCCACACGCATCGTACCGCTGCCGCCACGCTCAGTCCGAGCCAGAAAACCATGGCGGACGTGGAACCCATCTTCACCGCCGTCTCCAGCAACGCCCACCACCTCTACACCCTCCTCCAATGCATCGGATTCGCGCCCAAGGCCACCGTGCAGCTCACGCCCGACGGCATCCGCTTCTCCGTGGAAGAAACCCGAACGGTGCAGGGGCTTGCATTCCTCGACAAGGCCCTCTTCACCAGTTACACCTTCAATCCACCACCAGCCGCAGCTCGCACCCCCACCGACGAGCATAGCAGCAACCATGATGACACCGAGCCCCCCTCCACCGACGACCCAACCTCCTACTACCCGTGCTTCGAAGTCTCGCTCACCGCCCTTCTCGAAACGCTCAAGATCCTCGGCATCAACGACAACTCCACATCCGGCGGCAGCGGCTCCTCCCGCGCCGGCAGCGTGCAACCGGCCCCTTCCCACAGCGCCTTCACCACGCCAGCCCTCCTCCTCGACCGCTCGTGCACCCTCCGCTACGCCACAGAAGGCAGCCCCTTGAGCATCACGCTCACCGAGACCGGCATCCAGACCACCTGCGAATTAACCACATACGAGCCCGAAGGTGGCGAGATCGAAATCCCCTTGCAACGCGACGCGATCATCATGAAGATCATCATGCGGTCGGCCTGGCTCCACAACGCCATCACCGAGCTGGCAGCCACGGACCCGACCGTCCTCAAAATCTCGGCCTCCGCGACCCACGAGCCGTTCTTCGCGTTGGCCGGCGCCGGCGGCTCGTTCAGCGAGTCCTCCGTCGAGTTCTCCGTCGAGAATCAGCCCCCCACCGCATCCGGTGCCGCTCCCCGTGAGGATAATGATGAGGGTGCCTCCCGCGCGAAACGAGCCCGCCTCGCCCCGACTGTCACCGAGACATTTCTGGTCAGTCCACCCTCCTCGTCATCGTCGAAGGGGGGGTCGCAGCACATCCGACAGGATTACAGGTTCAAGGCGATCCAGAAAGCGAGCCGCGCGATGGCCGTGGCGAATAAGGTCAGTATACGGGGCGATCGGCAGGGGGTGCTGAGCTTGCAGTTCATGATCGAGTCCGATGTCCATGCTGGCACCAGTGGGGCGAGGTTGTCGGCTAGAGGGGGTTTGGCGCCTGTGGTCAGTTTCGTAGACTTTCGGTTCGTGCCGTTGTTGGATGATGACGCGGAGGTTCTTTAGAGTTTGGAAATGGGTCGTTTTCCCCATTGTAGCTTGTGTCTTTATCTAGCGGTCTTGAACGACAGAATAGTGTGAAGGAGAAACCAATAATGTAGTTGAACTGCAGTTCCCCCCCCTAAACGCCGGCGCATGCTTTCTGCTGATATTTGTGCATGATGTACAGTACATGAAGTAGGCCAATGTGGACTGTACCACTTTTGATCCTTGATCGGATGAACATCCCCTATCCTCGTAAAAACCACGCCATGCATAAGAGCCTCGAATCGGCCCGCAGGCAGCCAGCGACATAAAGTCACAATCACATAACCTGCAGACACCCGTTAGCATTGAATCGTCGTACCATGGATGGGCATTGCAGCATACCTCAGCGATCGACTGGCGCTCAATGATGGACTTCTGGCGCTCGTTCCGTGAAACCCGGTAATAGTAATCGCTGAAATCGCCGCACTGCATGTGACGCAGGAACTCTTCGTCGTGGGTGATGACGATCAGCTGGAAGTTGGCCTGCTGCTGGCGCGTGCGGATGATGTCGTGGAGTGACTCGGCCAGCGAGCGGATGTTGTCGCGGTCGAGATTGGTGGTGGGCTCGTCGAGGGCGATGAGGCCGCAGTTGACGCCGAAGCACTCGGCCAGGGCGAGGCGGATGATGATGCTGGCCAGCACCTTCTGGCCGGCGCTGCAGCGGCCGCGCATGTCCATCTCGGCGCCCTGCTTGACCATGCAGACGCGGTAGTTGTACGAGCGGTTGCCCTTGGCGTTCTCGTTGTCGGAGCGGATGAGGATGGTGTCGACGTCTGTGCCGCGGTAGGTCTTCTGCCAGAGCTCGCCGACGATGGCGTTGATCTCCTCCATCTTCAGGCCGTGGTACTTCATGATGGCCTTGTCGAGGGCGCCGCCGTAGCGCGCCAGGTCGTCGACCGCGGCGCGCGTCGTCTCCACCTTGATGTGCGCCTCCTTGTACTTGCTCGCTGCGTTCTTGTAGTCCGTGTCCCAGTCGGCGAGCAGCTGCATCAGCTGGTCGTCCTTGGACTTCATCTCGCCCATCTTGCTCGCTTGCTTGGCGGCCAGGGCGTTGTGCTCGCGCGTGCGGCGCTCCGATTCCTCCTTGAAGCGGCTGCGGTCGACCTCGGCGTTCTGCGCGGCGAGTTGCTCGATCTCCGCATTGACTTTGTCCAGGGCCCGGGTCGCCTGGCGGTACGTCAGGTTGTCGGCGTATTGGCGCTTGGTGTTTTCGCTGTCTTTGAGCTGGGCTGAGATCCGGTTGATCTCTTTCGTGATCGTGGCCTGTTCGTATTCGAGCTCGCTGATCTCGTTCTCGATGGCCTGGAGTTCTCGTTTGCTTCGCTCGAGCTGAGTGGGACCTCCTCGCTCGTTATAGGCTTCTATCTCCTCGTTTGCGATTTCCAGCTGGTGTACGCTATCGGACAGTTGGGAAATTCCTTGCTGCGATTCCCTTTCGCGAGCCTCGGCGCGTTGACTGATGTCATCGACTTGGGCTTGGATCTTCAGTAGTTCAGGAGTGAGTTCCTCAATGTCCTTGTCCGCCTTCGCGATCGCGGCACGCTGTTCGTTGTTGAGGTTCTTGAACTCTGCCAGGCGAGTGAGAAGATCTGCCTTCCGTTCGAGCTGGAACTTGGCGTTATCTAGGTTGCTCTTAGCATCTCTAAGCTGCAATTCCAGATTGTTGATCTCCGCTAACGCCTGCTCCTTATCATGGGTGACTTTTGACAATGTCTTTTTCAGAGCGCGAGACCGCTCGCCAATCCCAGCAATTTCTTCCTGAATATCCTCCAGGGTGCGTGAACCAGTGTTGTCATCTTGCTTTGAAGAGAGTTCTTGTATCTGAGAGCGGATAGACTTGATTTCGCTGTCATACTTGACGATAGTGCTGACGGTTTTGGAAAGTGCTTCGACCTCTTTCTTCTTCTCGGTCTTCTCGCTAAGGATCTGATCGTGTTCCTCCAGTTGATTGAGGAGCTTGTCCTGTTGGAGAACATATTGCTCCTCTTCCTTCCCCAGACTCGGGATTTCAGTTTCCTTCAGTCGAGTCCACGTGTTGTAGGCCGTGATAGCTTCTCGCGCAGTGTTGAGGTCTTCCTCCAATTGTCGGATATCCTCGTCTTCAGCATTACGTTGGTTTCGCTTGACCAAGCCCTCAAGTTTATTGATGAAGGTCTGCAATTGTCTGTCTGCCTCGAATCCTCGCTGGCACAGCCGGCAAACTTTCGTTGACTTCGCCGTGGCAAGACAGTCTTTCATGTACGTGCTGATGCCAGCAAATTGCTCCGTATCTTTCCGCGCAAGATCAAGCTGGATCTGCCGCTCTTTGACAATCTCAAGATATTCCTCGGGTTCTTCGCCAATGGCTTCACGGATTTCTGTGACGCTCTCCTTGAGTTCTTTCTGCCGCTGACCCAAGGCTTTCTTCGCTTCTTTCAGCTTGAACTCTACTTGTTCCAGCTCGCGGCTGACGCCGTCGCGTTCACGCTCCGCCTTCGAGACGTGTCTTGACTCTTCTTCTAGAACATGGTTGAAATCTTGCTCCAGGGTTTCGGCGCTCCAAGTGGGTTTGACATATTTGGAGAGTCGTTCGCCATGAGCCCCTTTCATGGTTTCCAGACTGCGCTCCCTTTCCTTCAGTTCCTTCTTAAGGTGGTCCAACCGGGCGAGATCACCAGCCTTCTTAGTGGCCTCGATGAGTTCGGTGTTCAGGCGGGAGCTTTCGTCCTCGAGACTGCGAATCTCCGAGTTGATGTTCTGGATCTCTTTATCCCACGAAGCGGATCGTGAGCGTTCCTTGGCCTGACCCAAGCGAGAATTGATGTCTTCAATGTTCGTCTCCAGCGCAGCCTGCACGCCCTCATCGACATTGATCTCATTGAGTTTTGCTTGATAGGAAGCCGCATCTCGGTCGTTCAAAGCCATCTGTCGCTTGGCCGCGATCTTACTTTCCTGCAGTGCCGATTTGCGTTGTCCAAGCTGATTCAGGGAGCTTTGCGCCTCACGCAGCTCGCTCTGTGCCTCCCGCTTGACTCGCTCCAGCACCTGGTTCTGCTCTTTGAGGATCTTCCTAATTCTCCGCATGAACTCGTCGACATCCGCCTGGTCCGCCACGTTATCGAACCCGCGGATGCTGTGGCTCCGCGCAATCTCTCTGGTCATGCGCTGTCGCCTCTCGACCTGGCGCTCGAAGTTCGCCTTGTCGTTCTCGAACTTCCCGTACTCGGCCTGCTTGAGACCCAGCTTCTGCCGTGCTTTCTCGATCTGCTCCTTGATCTCCATGTAGATCTCCTTCTGCGATTCCTCCTGCTGCTGGTACTGCAGTTGCTTGGTCTCGAACTGCTCCAGATTCGCCTCCAGCCACTCATCCGAATCGTCGAGCTCCACCAGATGTCTTTGCAGGTTATCGAGCGTCGTCTGGATGCTCTTCGCCTCGATGCGCTTGCCCTCCAGCGCGCCCAGGATCTGGGAGTAGCTCTCGGACTCCTTCCAGGCCTTGTCCGCCAGGTCGGCGACGCGGCGCATCTCCTGGGAGAGCTGCTGGGTCTCGGCGCGCAGGGCCTCGATCTCGTCCTGCAGCTTGATGGAGCGCTTCTCGGCGCGGTCGGCCTTCTCCTTGTCCTCCTTGGCGTGCTGCTCCATGATCTTGTACTTGGCCAGCTCCTCGTTCTGCTTCTTGCGGAGCTGCTTGATGTTGTCGATCGCCTTGGTGTACTTCATCGCCTCGAAGATCTCGTCGAACTTCTTCTTGAGCACCGACGGCTCGCTCATGGGCCACAGGCTCTCGTCCTGGTGGCAGAAGATGACCGAGTCGAGGATCGCCCTCGACACGCCCAGGTACTGCGGCAGGATCTGGTCCAGCTCGGCCACCCGCGACGAGATGGCCGTCCGCTCGCCGTCCTTGACCATCAGGAGCTGGCCCTCCAGCGTCTTCTGCTGCCGCGTCGTCTTCTTCACCGTCAGCTGGAGACTCCGCGTCGCCACCATCTTGGCGCCCGAGGTCGCTTTGAAGGACAGCTTGACCTGCGCCAGCACCTCCTTTTCGCCGCATAACTGACCCTATCGTCAGCAGTCGCCCTCTCGTACAACTAGTCCATTCTGGAAACCCGTACCTTCGGATCATGGATGAATGCACCACCCTTGCTATTCGGTGGAAGATCACCGGTAGTCGCATACTTGAGACATTCTATAATCGTCTTTCATCACATCAGCCTAACAACCCATAATCCCTTGGACAGAAAAATGCAATACCGTCTTTCCCGATCCATTATACCCGACAATCAACGTAAGCGGCGTGTGAAACTGGATAGTCTCGCTGCGGGTATTGTCGAACGAGCGGACACTTATCAAGGCAAAGAAAGATCCAGTCAGTTAACAGCCCAAACAAAAAGGTCGAAAAAAAAAGTGACCTGCGAACAAGACACCGAAGCCGGACAAAAGCACAAAACCTACCCCAAAATCGAAAGCTTATCTATCTTCGCTGTGCAAAAGTCAGCGTCGGAGACTTCTTGCTTCCAAATCTAGCTCCGCGGCACTTCCAACTTCACTTCACTTACACCTGCAGACAGATAGACTCGGGGTTAGTTACAATCCATACACCAAGTGCGAAGCTTGCAAGGTTCTTCGAAAGTTAGAACTTACATCTTGAGGCTGTCTCAGAGAGGGCCGTCAAGCAGCCTGGTCGCATCAAGTTGTTGAACCACTTTCACTGGCAAGTACGCCGGGTTTCCGTCATCGAGCCCGGACCCAGCCAGCCCATCCTTTGATAAGAAAAGCGAGCGCGTCGGCGGACGCGGGGAAGACGGCGCGCGGTCACGTGCGCAGGCAACGGTTTAGGCGGCCATTGGGGATTTAAGTTACTACTTACTCAGGTAGTCATGACGCCTATGTATGGATGAACTTGAAGTCCCATTATAAGAGGGGTCCAGCTTTATGCAAAATTAGAATCCATCAGTGAGGCAGATACATTTGATCTACTGTATATTCAGAATCACAAGTTGAGAAGAACCTCGCTTAAGCATAATAAACAATCGACTCATTTGCCTCTGGGCTTATCACTGAGGTCTCATGTACATTTTCCCTGGTATATGCAAGTAATGGTATTAGTATATGTACATTCTTATCATAAACCTGAATGTCTTCTTCCGCTTAACATAAACCAAACAATACGCCCGACAACTCATGGCCTGCACTTGCCGGGTCACCTTCGTAAACTCGAGTCCATCCTTATCTTGCTTTACATGCTGTACCGTCTACACCCCACTGACTCCTAACCTGTCAAACCGACTCTCCAAATCCCTGACCCACGGCTCCACGGTCTCAATATTATTCTTCAGCGCCGCCTCGCCCTGCTTCATCTTCTCCTCTACTACCCGAAGCCCCTCGCGCCACTGCTCAATCTCCCGAGCCATATCGGCTTGTCGCTTTTCCAGCACATCCAACGACTCCGAGGCGTGGGCGGCCCCCGCGTGGATGGCACGCAGTGAGCGCAGTCGTTCGAGGACGCTGGGGAGAATCGGGTGGAGAGACTGGATGGTGGGGAGGGTAGCATAGAGGGCCTGGATCTTGGTGGCTTGCTCGTCACGCTGAGTGGCGGCGGGATCGACTTCCGTGGCGGACGATGATGAGACCGACATGTCGGAGGGCTCGAGAGCTGTGGAGGAGATACGGGCGTTTTGGGCCGCTTTGGCGGCGTCGACGGCGCGCTTACGGGCGGCGGCCAGGGCCTCCGTGTCGGCGGTTAGCTTGCGCACGCGGCTGGATAGGGACTCGAGATGAGGCGTGGTGACGGTCGTGGCGGGGGCAGCTGAGCCCATGCTTGGGAAGGCGGAGACGGGGTTCGGGCCGACGAGGAGGTTCATCAGCGTGGCGAGGCGAGAGGTGAGGTGGTCGAGCGCAGGAAGAACCGGTTGGAGGTCCGGTTCAGAGATGCCATCGTTGACAAAGGGATTCGAGGAGCTGGAGATTCCCATGGCCGCTTCAATGAGAGCCAGTCGCCCATCGAAAGAGGCCGCATGGGCGAGGACTCCACCGCCGGTCGCGGACGGGGACGGGGGTGTTTGTGGGCGATTGTTGGTGGGCTTACGATCGTCCAGCTGAGCGGGGTTGCTGACCGGGGAATCTGGAGTGGAGGTGGAGGCGAGCTTTTGGGACAGGACAGCTGCGGCCGAGTGGGAGCCGGAGGGGCCACTGCGCGAGGATGCGTAGAGATTGTCCAATGCGCGACTCAGTTCCAGCACACCATCTGTTCCATCTGTTCCAGGCTTGCTCAGAGCGGCTGTCTCCGCAGACTCAGTACTAGATTGTTGCGTTGCCAGCTGATCTTTCAGTTCCTCGACTTCGCGGCGCAGACGAGCCAGCTTGCGCTCCACACTTTCGTCTTCACTGTCGCTGAGGTCATCGAGTTCGTCGGCTCCAAGATCATGTCTCCATCGCCGACGGCTCTTGCTTCTGTATGCTTTGCGTTTCGCGGCTATGCTGTCTGAGAAATTGGCTTCGCGGGCGTCGACGGTGGCACCGAGGAAGTGGGCGCGCGCCTCGTCGGCGTTGATGCCTTGGCGATCGATATCAGAGTTGTCGCCAGCATCGTCGTCTACGTTGGAGGCGGTGCGAAGAGTTGTGGTCTGTTCGCCGATAAGCTGTCAGAATGGGGAAGGACACCCGCGCGCGGACGATAGACATGGCAGCGAACCGGGATAGTAGAAGCTCCGTCGGTCAGATCGGGAGTCTCGTAGATATCGGGAGCGAGATCCTGCACGTCGTTGTTAGATTTTAGTCCGGCCGGACTACTGGCAATGGAGATGTGCTGACCAGGTCAGGAAGACCGGCGTATTTCCGGTTGAAAGACATGGCGTCCAGCTTTGTGATTGAGTGCGAAAATTGATCTACTGTTGCGGGGAAGGGCTGGAGATGAAGTGATCCTCAAGAGGAAGTGAAGGGGAATGTTTGTTCACGTGCCAGGGGCGGGTAAACACATTACGAAGGAGCCATACATACAGTCCGGTACTACGATACACTACTATACAGTAACTTACAGTACATACAGCGACAACAACAACAACAACAACAACAACAACAACAATAGAAACAATAATCATGACATTATTGACTATCAAAGGCAAGGGTGATCAGAGCCTCTTCGGCGGCGCGGCGGTTAGAATTACTCCGCAACACATGTTTTCCAGACCGGAGTTTCCTCAAGCCAACCTCGGCCGCAATTGCCCCATTTTGATTAAATCGAGAGAAATGGCATTGAACGAGGCTGCAGTAGAGGGAAGCGACGATCACATGAAGGGGCCGATTGACCCTCTTCAGCACTACCTACCAGTTACCGAGATGTACAGTAGTACCCTTTAAAGCGTCCTTGTCCCACCCGTCAACTTGCTCCTTCAATCCTGCACTGTCCCTCTCGCTTATCCCTCTACTGGAAATATATCAATTCTTCTCCTCTTCTCTATCCTTACTCCTCGCTAGCATATCTTAAAACCTATCCTCATTTTGCGTGAAATTCTTACCCCTCAGCACCGAAAATGGCCGCCCCCGCAGAAGTCACCATCAAGAATCTCAGCGGAGAGTGGACAATGGTACGCTGGATAATGACATGATGCTTCATCACCAACTAAATGAAAAGTTCCGTAACTGATAAAACCACCTACAGAACAAAACCCTGTCCAACCCTACAGACGCAATCCTGTCACTGGTATAAACATCCCCTCACTTCTACCTCGGTATCTTCAGCTCTCCCCAAGACTGACAAGTCCCTACGCAGCAAGGAATGAGCTGGCTCACTCGTAAAGCCCTCAACCTCGCCACCATCACCCTCCACATCGACACCCACTTGGACCCGGAGGACTCTACCATCATCCACATCAAGATCGACCAGACCTTGACGGGTGGCATCAAGGGAACCAGTGAGAACCGCATCAGCGACGGCAAGAAGCGCGAACACACCGACCACATCTTCGGCCATGTGGAGGGCCAATCGCGGTACATCCGCGGGAGCAGCAGTAGCGATGGCAAAGTCCGTCCCAACTTCGCGTTCCTGACCAAGAGCGAGGATCCCAAGGTGGCCCAGTTCCTCAACGGGGAGATCCTGGCGGACGGGAAGCCGGCGGACGGATTCGTGGTTGAGGATCTGGGCCAGGAATTCGGTGAGGGCGAGGGTCTGTGGTTCCAGAGCTTTGTGGAGAGTCTGGACAACGGATGGACGGCAGAGCAGGTTCGTGTTCTCTCTCCCCCGTTCACTAATCAGTATTGATGGTGGCGGGGCATATCTCGTATCGATGCATACGCTGACTGAAGTGCTGGTAGATCTGGGGCTTTGAGGTGATCGATGGGCAACGCTACTACACCCGTCGTGTAGTTGTTGCAAAGGATAAGCACGTCGAGATGGCCAGGTTCGTGTATAGTTATGCTGGCCCGAAGAAGGAGTAATTTCTATCAGCCAACAAGGAGTGGGTTATACTGAGGATTGGGCGGGAGAATGTTCGATAGGAGTGCTCTGTGCCTATCATCTTTATGTGGCAGGTCTACTGTAAAGTATTATTACGTCCCGCTCGTTCAGTGTCCGAGACCAGACTGGCCGGTTCTCCTCGCGAAGCTGTTCAGAATAGACCTAATTGAATCTTATTGATACAAAACTTGATGCATGCACTTGTTCGATCGAATCGACACGGTTAACTGAAATGAGTCTCAGATTACAGTACACAGACGCCTTCATCCTCAGCAATTTGTTCACGAGCCGCCGTTAAGATGCAGGTATAACACTCCTTCCTCGGAGATTCAATTTGAAGAACAATGATATTAACAAGGCTAATTCCGCAACCCAGCGTGAAAGCTAACACCGTATAGAGGCATGATGCAACATTCAAGGTATTTTTGATTTCTATTCAATGTTTCCCCTTGTTTCCATCGACCTTACGAGTGTGTGGGCATCACAACATGGGCCTTGGTGCTGATCGCATCCTCGCTGCGCCACAGGCTAGTCACAGTCTTCTGCTGAGTGTAGAACTGCAAACCAGGCTTGCCGTAGAAGGTGTTGGCACCGCCACCGGCGATACTCTTCTTGTTACCGGTGAAAGAGAACATGGGCAGCGGGACAGGGATCGGCACGTTGATGCCGACCTGGCCGGCCTCAATGTCCTTCTGGAAGCGCGAGGCAGTCGGGCCAGAGCGGGTGAAGACGGCCGCGCCGTTACCGTACGGGTTCTTGTTGATGAGCTCGATAGCGTCATCGAGCGTAGGCACCGACAAGCAGATCAGAACAGGGCCGAAGATCTCCTCTGTGTAGCACTTCATCTCAGGGGTCACGTTGGTGATGATAGTAGGTCCAACCTAGAGAAGAGAGATCTCATGAGTCAAGATTCAATGCAGCACTTGCGGAGACCACTTACAAAGTTGCCGTTGGGGTACTTCTCGGGCTTGTAGCCACGACCATCCAACAGGATAGTGGCACCCTCTTCCTCGGCGCTGGCAATCAGATCCTCGATGCGCTTCTTGCTCTGGGGGCTAATGACCGGGCCAAGATCCGCACCCTCTTCGAAACCACCATTGACATTCAATGCCTTGGCCCGCTCAGCGATCTCGGGCAGCCATTCCTGGGTTTCCCCGACCATCACCACTGTGCTCAGGGCCATGCAGCGCTGACCAGCAGCACCGAAGGCAGCGCCAACAATAGCATTGAGGGTTTGGTTCTTGTTGCAGTCCGGCAGGACCGCGGCGTGGTTCTTCGCACCCAGATTCGCCTGGACACGCTTGCCATTTGCGGAACCCCGGGTATAGATGTACTCACCGGCACGGTTACCGCCAACAAAGCTGATAGCCTTGATGGAAGGTTCATCGAGGATGAAATCAACCGTCTTGGCGGAGCCATGCACGATGTTGACCACACCGGGTGGGAAACCAGCTTCCCGAGCCAGCTCGGCCAGAATCATGGCTGCGCCGGGGTCACGTTCGGAGGGCTTGAGAATCAAGCAATTACCGGTAATGGTGGCGACAGGGATCGACCAGAGGGGAATCATTGCGGGGAAGTCTGGGAACCCGCGGTTAGCCTCGGCAAATACCGCCGGTCGAGCAATATACTAACTGAAGGGACAGATGGCGGCCACAACACCCAGAGGCTCGCGGTAGCTTCGAGTCTCCATATCCTTGGCGACTTCGAGCACCTCGCCTGTCAATTGGGTGGTGATGCCACAGGCAGTTTCAGCCACTTGAAGACCACGGAGAACGTCGCCCTTGGCATCGGCAAAGGTCTTGCCCTGCTCCAGGGTAATCGAGGCAGCCAGGCGATCCCAGTGAGCCCGGATCAGGCTAACAAACTTGAACATGATCTGCTGTTTGGCAATCACGCTGGTCGCGCGCCAGGCCGGAAAGGCCTTTTGGGCGGACTCAACGGCAGCCTTCAGCTCCGCATCGGTACTCTGAGGCACACGAGTGATGAGATTGTTGGTGGCTGGATCATGCAAGTCAATCCAAGTGGTTGCCTTGGACTGTACAAACTCGTTGTCCAGAAAGTTGGTAGTATCGATGGGGTTCGAAACAGGGCTGTGATCGGTAGGATAGTCGGTGGCGGTGGAGGCCGCGGAGGTGGTTGCGGGGGTACGTTGCTGGGCTGTGGCATGCAGACTGCGAGTGGTAGAAGGGGATGAAGATGCCAGAAGAGAAGAGGGAGCCATTATAGCGGTAGAGAGATGTCTGGATCGTGAAGCTAAAGCTGCAGACGTTCTGGTGGCGGATAATCTGGGGACGGTGAGGGCCGTGCGGGGGGCAGCAGCGCGGAGAGTGGGGAGAGAGCGGGCAAGAGAGCGATGGGCGGCCATCATGGGAAAAAGGGAAGAAGAGAGATTAAGAGTGACTGGGGGACTGATTTATAGAGAAGTACTAGGTTGTTGACAGCACAGACGTTGTGACAGCTCAGCGCGTGAGGAGAAGGAGGGGGGGGGGGGAAGCTGCAGGAGGGACTCGGAGGGATAGCTACTACTTAATAAGAAGTTGGAGTAAGTTTCCCCAGGTTTGGCCCTCCGTTCCTGGCCGCCGAGGCTCCGTCACTGGGTCACTGGATCACAACAATCACTGATAATGAATGCGGTTATCGCCCTTCCTCGGCGTTGACCACCAATCATCATGCCCCACGGAACTACTTGCCAATCTGGTCATCTCTACAGGAGTACTAGGTAGGTACTAGGTATCCGGTCCTGATCATCTCTCAATTCATCCATCCGCTCCTCCTGGCAGGTATACTACAATGACCTAGAAGGAATTTCCATCGTTCTTGAAACTAGGCAGGACGTTCCGATCGGAAGTCTTTGTTTGCACTTATAAGTTAATATCTAGTGGATTTAGTATTACCTCTTTTCCGCGGACAGATGCAATTGTCGGATTCTCATTTCTGAGACTTCTCACAACTCCAACCGCAGGAGGAAGATACTCCAAGGTGAAGACTCAATTACTAAGCTAGGGACGATCTTAAACCATATGATTGATGTTCTTCCATCAGTTACTCATCAATTACTTTACAGGTCTCAAAACAATTCGAGGCAGGCCTCTCGAGTGTGGCGTCCATATCGCATCACAGACAGGAGCAGGAGCAGCCTTTCTTCTGGCCGTGCCAACCAACATATTTGGAATAAAAGAACAAATCGTGGATTGAACGCTGCAACAGGTAGGTATAATATGGAAATCGAGAGAAAACAAAATATTGGGTCGGAAGCTGTCCCTCCCCACAGAATGCTCACTTTTGGGCCGCGTCATCTCTAATCTCTCCCCAGAGTCAACAAGGCAGGCCCCTTTACTCCGCAGAGGAGCGAGTCTGGCGCTTGGTGGCGCCGCCCTTGCCAGTGTTGGTAGCAGAGCTAACAGCCTCCGCAGCCTTCTCCTTGGCAGCGCTGGCAGCCTCCTTGCCCTTCTTAACCGGAGCGGCAGCCGGGCTGCTGGCACCGACAGCACCCACGATCAGGAGCACCATGGTAACAAGCACGGCGGCGAGACCACCAGCAACATCAGGAACCTGTTTCACAGCAGCGATGGGGTCCTGCTTGGCCAAGCCAACGAAACGATCAACCTTCTCGCGGACGTGGGCCACGGGGTTCTCCTTGAAGCTGACGCTGGGCTCGACAATCTGCTCCTCCGGCTTGGGCTTGTTGGCCTCCTCCTCAGCCAGTTCGATGGGGTGCTTGATATCAAAAGTCTCCTTGCGGAGCTGCTCGGCATCTTCTTCGGAGTGACCAATGTAGATGTTGTCAAAGAGAATGTCGTTCTGCATAGTCCAGATTTCGAAACCAATCTGTCAGGAATTAGTCAGGTTGTTCACGCAACAGCCGAGATGATGGGGGATAACTTACGGCGCCCATGGGCTCGAAGTTGGAAGGAGTCTTGTCCTCGAAGTAGGCGGGGTTGGCAATCTTGCGGGGGGCCCAGGGACCCTTGTAGGCGGGGTTGTCGACCAGAGGAGCAGTCCACTTGCCCTTGTAGGCGGGGTTCTTGATCAGGGGAGCAGTCCAGGGACCACAGCCAGCAGCCTCCTGGCATTTGGGGTTGGGAACAGTGGGAGGAACCCAGTCACCGTCCTCCTCATCGTCCCAGTCCTCGGGCTTCTCGGCCTCGGGGTCAGGAATGCTGGTGGGCTCATCCTCCAGCCAATCCTCGGGCTTCTCGGCATCCTCATCAACGATCTCGTAAGGAGCGTCCTCATCCCAATCCTCGGGCTTGGTGGCCTCAGGGTCAGCGATCTTGGACTCGTCGACCCAGTCGGAGGGCTTCTTGTCCTTAGGATCATCAATCTCCTTCTCGGGGTTGACAGCAGGACTGAAGTCCTCGAGCAAATTACCGCTCTTAGCCTCCTCACCATCAATCAGAATGGAGAAAGTCTGATCGGGGCGGACAATCAGAGTGTACAGGGAGGTGACCTTGTTGGTACGAGCGGCAGGAGGAGCCTTCAGGTGCTTCTCCTCGTACTCGCCGGTCTTGGGGTTCTTGTGACGGAAGATGAAGTGCACCTAGAAAATGATTAGTTGCTGCAACACACGTCAATTGTTTGCAGAAGGCCAATGTACCTTGTTGGTGGCACCGCACTTGTCGGGACCGAACATGATAACGTAAGGAGAGGCGTTGGAGAACTCCTCAGACTGGAGCTTCTTGTTGTCCTGGAGAAGCTTCAGGTAGGCACCACCACAAACCAGGGAGTCTAAAAGCGAATGGTCAGCAACCCTTCGAGTTGGCCGTACATATGCGATGAACAGGACGTACTTTGCGGCTTGACCTCATACTGGACAACCAGGGTCTTGTCCTTGTTGTCGATCTTCTTGGGGAACTTGGAGGAGATGGCGTGGTGGGCAGCAACATTCTTAACGACGAGACCCTTGTCTCCCTCGATTCCCTTCAGCACGGTAGGCTCTTCGACAGACCATTCGCCAACATAGGCCCAGTCCTCCTCAGACTTGGAGTCCTCCTTCTTGGCGTGGGAAGGAGTCCATCGGCTATCCCAGTCATCGGTGAACTGCTCCAAGAAAGGAGCCTTGAGGGTGGTAGGCTATTGGTGCGGAGTCAGCATTATGCAACTGTGGTCAGAAAGAATCGGGCGACGATTCAACATACGGTGAAAGTAGGCTTCTCCGCAATGGAGGTGGTCTCGGGCTTCTTCTCGGTCTCGTCAGCATGGGCCATGCCCATGATGGAGGCCGAGGAGACCAGGGCGGAAGTCAAGGCAGCGTTGAAACGCATTGTGAATGGGGATTGGCGCTCTGGAGGCTAGAACAACGAAAACAAACAAACGAGCGCACCCGCGAATTAACCTCGATGGGCCGGGTGATTGTAGGAGAGAATATCTCAAAGAAGTCGCGGTACAATGGGGCGACAAGCAGGGATGGAGGAGGGTGGGAGGTGGAGGGTATGTGAAGACAGAAGAACGGGGGAGAATGGGGGAATTGGAAGGTTGGTTATATAAGAAGCTGCATGAAGCTGGGAAGTTCCAGGTGGCCTCTTCCTCTCTCTTCCGCGGCCGCTGCTTCTTTGGGGCCCGCGGGTAAGGTCCCGCCTGCCCGATTTGGTTTAGCCAGCCTGCCACAGAATTACGCCGTCTTAGCGCGTATTCGCTCTGTTTCCTCTGTTTCGGTACTGTCATTGGGGTAATTTAGCAGAAACACTGCTTGTGCTACCCCAGCTGTGGTGCATGACCTGCTTGATGTTCGTGCTCGCAAGATTCAAAATAGATCAGATATGCCTCTACGTCTATCCCTTGAGAGCAAAAGCGCCCCTACTTTTATCAGGAAAATATGCTTTGGGGGCTTCGAATCCAATCTGTCATCCATCATGTACTGCTTGTCCGCCAATGACAACCAGCCGATGGCGCAAGTGTTTCTCCCCCCGCTACCTTAATTGAAATTAATGGCCGATGCTTCTCTTCCCCTCCCCGCCCAACGTCTTTTTTTTTCGACCTCCCCTCTTCTCTTCCTGTCACACCACAACATTTGTCGCTGTGTGACTCGAGACATACCGATTGTCGCAAGGGCATATAAGTCTGAAGGTTTTCAGTCACTCACGGACAACAGACTAGAGAGGCGCTGCGATCACTTTCCAGCCGCCATCACGGACCACCGGGATCTACACTGCCAATTTGCGGAGGCACAACAACCCCAACAATAATCACCATGTGCCAAGAACACGAGAACCAGAACAATGACCACCTGGTCCAATCCTCCGATCCGGAGCACCCGGCTAACCTGATTCCCGACCTCTGTCGCCGGTTCTACAACTGGGGTTGGGTTACCGGTACTGGTGGTGGGGTACGGAGCTGTCGCAATCCTCGAGGATGACCCAAAATGCGTGTGCTAATTCGAAACGTTCTGTGTAGACTTCCATCCGCCAGGGCGAACACATCTTCATCGCGCCCTCCGGTGTGCAGAAGGAGATGATGAAGTCTGAGAACATCTTCGTCCTGCAGTTCCCTACGCCCAAGTACCCCCCGTCTGAGCGCAAGTACATCCGCAAGCCTCTCAACCTGAACCCCTCCGCTTGCACTCCTCTGTTCTTGGCCGCCTTTGAACGTGGCGCCGGGTGCTGCATTCACACCCACTCCCAGTGGGCCGTCCTGGTGACGCTTCTGGTCGAGCGCGAAAAGGGCCCCGATGCCTGCTTTGAGATCAGCAACATCGAGCAGATCAAGGGTATTCCCGCTGGAAAGGGCAAGGGCTACCTGGGCTTCTTCGATACCCTGCGCATCCCCATCATCGACAACACGGCGTTCGAGGAGGATCTGACTGGTAGCTTGGAGAAGGCGATGGATGCGTACCCGGACACCTATGCCGTCCTTGTCCGTAGACACGGAATGTAAGTCATCGCGCTCGCGTATCATTTGTATGGTTGACTGGATACTAACTGGGGGCGCATCTAGCTACGTCTGGGGTGACAATGTTGCCAAGGCGAAGACTCAGTGTGAGAGCTTGGACTATCTGTTCCAGCTGGCTGTGGAAATGCACAAGCTTGGTCTTCCCTGGGTGAAATAAGGATGTTGTTCGTTAGTAGCATAACCATGGTGAGGAAGCGGAGTTATATATATGGGATGAAAGCGTGGTCAAAGTTGATTATGGAAGAGAGAGATTCACACGAGCTTTCATGCAATGACGAATGTATGCCAATCGCACAGCATATTTCTGTAGTGTAGAAGTAGACACGACCAACCCTTTCGTATATGAAGCCTAATTCATGTCATACTTGTACAACTAGTAGTTAAGTAAATAATAAGTTACTGTAAACAGCGCGCTGGGTGGAGGGTCTTGGCGGGAGAAGCCTAAACCATTCGGGGTTGGCGCGGGATCCTCAGGCTCGTCAAGGCGGGCCGCCCTGTCGACGGACGGACTGACTGACTGAATTGCTCCCCCGTCATCGCCAATCACTCCTCCATCCCGCGGTCCCTCCTTCACCTCCTCCTCCTTCACCTCCGTCCCTCCGTCCCTCCGTCCCTCCGTACCTGTCTTCCTCGCTATTCGGACACCATTTCACCAATTCCATACTCCGAACTCAAATATCTCTCGCATCCCTGTTCCTATTTGATCCTAATTCATGGATCTCGACGCAGGAGATTCCCCGTGGGGCGGTAAGCAAGACATCAGGCAGTCACGGATACAATCGCAATCGTGTCTCCTCTAATGCACCGCATGCAGACGTCCCATCTCAGTCGCCCCCCACCCATACCGCTCCCGAATCTGACACTCAAGAGACATGTTCGTCTTCTAATCTCCCTTTATTGCTGTCCGCATAATCTAACCGACATTGACACAGCTCCCGACCAACCGACACAGCCAGCTAGCTCCAACAATGCTTCCCGTTCTCCCGTCCGAAGAGGCCCCAGGGGCACCCGCCGGATCAATGCGCAGGCGACCAAGTTAGAAGCCGTCGACGATTCTTTCGACCCCCTCGGTCCGCTTGGAGACAAGGCCACGGAAAGCAGCCCCAACGAACAGGCTCCGACCCCACCGCAAAAGGAGGCGTTCGGCGCGCGCGGCGTGCGTCCGACCTCTTCGGCATCGCAGGCATCCAGTAGTGCGGCGCTGGGAGAGTCTGTAAACCTTGAAGAGGATGGTGCGGGATTCCGAGGCCCTCCGCCGGTCCAGCCCCCGAGTGATGCGGAGGGGTCGAAGCGACAGTCCGAACCCAGCATCAGCGTCGAGAAGGCCGCGAATCCGACTTTTGACATCACTGTTGGCGACCCGCACAAAGTTGGAGATCTCACGAGCAGTCATATCGTGTATCAAGTCAGGACGAAGGTATGGATGTCGCTTGTCGGGCTGCGGGCTAGTCGGCCACTTTGGTTGAGAGGACGCTAACGCTGGATTCCAGACGACCTCTAAAGCCTACAGACAACCGGAGTTCACGGTCAGCCGGCGATACCGCGACTTCTTGTGGCTCTACAACTCCATGCACAACAACAACCCCGGTGTCGTTGTTCCTCCACCCCCGGAGAAGCAAGCAGTAGGTCGGTTCGATACGAACTTCGTCGAGTCTCGAAGAGCTGCCCTGGAGCGCATGTTGAACAAGATTGCGGCGCATCCCATTCTTCAACATGATGGGGACCTGAAGATTTTCCTGGAGAGCGACACGTTCAGCCTTGACGTGAAGAACAAGGAAAATCGGGAACCTGATCTCGGGCAAAGCAAGGGCATGTTCAGTTCTTTCGGGATTAATGTTGGTGGAGGTGGGAAGTTTGTTGAACATGACGATGTAAGCGGCATCCCCGAGCCACATAGAACTCTTGACTGACAAATCTGCAGTGGTTCCATGACCGCAAGATCTATCTCGATGCATTGGAGAATCAGCTGAAGGCGTTGCTGAAGTCTGTCGACTCCGTGGTGGCTCAGCGGAAAGGATTGGCCGAAGCAGCGGGCGACTTTTCTGCATCAATTCACGCCTTGGCTGCTGTCGAGCTCTCTCCTGCACTGTCGGCCCCCTTGGAGGGTCTTTCCGACCTTCAGCTGCGTATCAGGGAGTTATATGAGCGTCAAGCACAGCAGGATGTTCTCACCCTCGGAATTACTATCGACGAGTACTTGCGACTGATTGGCAGTGTCAAGACAGCGTTCACTCAACGACAAAAGGCATTCCACAGCTGGCATGCGGCCGAGGCTGAATTGCAGAAACGCAAGCACACCCAGGAGAAACTGCTCAGGCAAGGAAAGACCCAACAGGATCGCCTCACGCAGATCAATGCCGACGTGGCCGATGCTGAACGGAAATCCCACCAGGCACGGTTGTTGTTCGAGGATATGGGCCGGTTGATGCGGAATGAACTCCAGCGATTCGAGAAGGAGAAGGTGGAGGACTTCAAGTCTGGTGTGGAGACATTCCTGGAGAGCGCCGTCGAAGCCCAGAAGGAGGTATGTGTTTCAGGTTCAATCTCCGAAATACCATATACTGACTGATGCAGTTGATCGAACTGTGGGAGACCTTCCTCATGCAGCTCGACGCGGGAGAAGAAGGCAATTTGCTGTATGGTGCACCTGGGGCAGGCGATGCTCCAACCGAATCAGTTCCGGAGACAGCCCCAGTCGAAGCAGCGAAAGAGGCTTAAATGATATCCCGTTCTCCTTCGCCTCTGTATAAAATAACCCGCCACGACTCATTGGCGGCCCTCCAACTGTCATAGTCTTTATACTCCTTGTGTCTCGTTTGCAATCCCTCGGTGCGGCGCACAGTTGTTAATATCCGGCGAGTTCTTAACAAGTACGCAACCCAGATAACTGTTTAGCAGCGCATTTAAGCCCTTACGTTTCTTCGCCTCATGTAGTCTAATCCCATGTCAACTTTGAAACAAACGGACAAACAAGAAAACTCCATTCAAATGGGTGGCGTGGTATGATGACGATGTGTGTGTATACTGTACATAAAAAAAACAAATTTGGGGGGGAGGCAAAAACGATCCCACAACAACGATCCCAGAGACACCTCCCCATCTTCAAGCCCGTCACATAGTACAAATCTAGCTGGGGTAAAATAAAAAGGAAGGCGCAAAAAAGGCCGGGGCGAACAATCAACCTCGCCCCCTCCTTTCATTTCGCTTCAACTTCCTCAAACAAACGACTAAGACCCAAATCACCACTTCTTCTTCTTCTCCGAAGGGCCGGCCTCCTGCTGTCCGAACGAACTGATCAAATCCAACAGGTTGTCGTCCTCTTCCTCAGCCTCCGCCTGAGCCGCCTCGGCCTCGGCCGTCTTCTCGGCCTCGCTTCCAGCAGGGGCGGTGTTGGTGTCGAACCCGCGACCGAACTTGGCACGGAAGGCCGCCAGGCGTCCGGCCTCGTCCTGCTCCAGGCTGGCCAGCCGGCTGGACGAGGGGTTCCACATGACGGAGTTGCGCGTGTCGCGGGTGGAGCGGTAGATGGGGAGCGGGGAGGAGGTCCGGTGCGTGAAGGTGCTGCCGTCGGACAGGGTGATCAGCTGCGTGAACTGGTAGGGCCGCTTGGGGCGGCGCAGGAGGGTGGCATGGCGGCATTGCGAGCAGATGAAGGTCGTCGAGGGTTGAAGCCGGGCCGTCGTGGCCGTGGCCGTGACCGTGCTGCGGCGGAGGGGGGTGGTGAAGGACATTTTCTTTGGAGGGGGTCGCAGATGGAGTTTCGTCTGGTCTTGGGACCTGGACCTTCAAGGGGTTAAAGCGAGAGAAGGAGTGGGTGATATGTGTTTCGTATTTGTGATATGCGATTTGGATGCGGTCAATTCGGGGCGGTTTTCTCTCTCTCTTCTTTTTCCCGAGCTGCTGGGGAAATTTGGGATGGGCGCGGATCCGGTAGGCGGTCAGTTTGCTCCGGCGGCCCTTTTTTCTTTCCTTGACAATCGGCGCTTCGGGGAACCTCCGGAGGTAATTCTAACTAACTTCCCTTAACTGCATAAACATTCAGGATGATATTGAGGGGCTCTAGTTAATGCATTGTTCTTGATTTGTTTCTGCAACATTGAGTATCAAGTTCAAATTATCCATAATCCCGTCATCATCACAACTTCTAACATACAATTCACCCGAATATGCCTCCATACTCTCGACACATGCTTGCAGCAGGCCGGACTGCAGCAAGCTCCAGCTTGCTCAGAGGTACACCCCAACACCTTTAAACTGCCCCAATCGCACGTCAACTGACCCATTCTCTACAGTCCTCACCCCTGTAATACTACCATATTCAATTCCTGCTACACCCACTCCCACCGTCTCCGCAAAACCAACATCCCACACCATCACCACCAGCAAACGAACCCTCACCACCTCCCCCGCAACCCACCAAGAAGAACACCAAGAAGAACAAGAAGAACAAACCTCACAAATACCCTTACCCACGCCGCCCACCCAACAGGACCTATCAACGCAAATCCGCCTCCTAATGCGCCAAGTCCCCTACCCCGTTGCCATCATCACCTCCACCGATCCGCACGCGCACGCCCACACCTCCGCATCACCATCCCCATCACCATCGCATCCTCCCTCATCCCCCACCCCCTTCCGCGGCATGACTGTCTCGTCCTTCAACACAGTAACCCTCCACCCAACCCCAATCATCTCCTTCAACGTCCGCCGCCCGTCCGAAACCCTCACCGCCCTCCAGTCCTCCGGCCGCTTTCTCGTGCACCTCCTCGCCCCGCATCCGCGCACCGCCGCCCTCGCCCGGGACTTCTCGCGCGGGAACCGTCGGCTAGGGATCATGCCTGCCCCGGCGACAGGAGGTGAACCAGGAGGGGAGGAGGAGGAGCCGGGGACAGCGGGGTATGAATTCGCGGCTCTGCCGCCCTCGCCCGTCGAAAGCGAGACCGTCAGCACCAGCACCACCAACCCCGAAGACGCACCCCCCCCTCCTCTCCCGTTATTACGGCGCCGGAATCCATCCCCCGGAAGTGCTGCACACGCGAAGGACCAGGAAAAGGTGGACGATTTCCCCTTTGTGTTCGAGTGTCGAGTGCTGCCGCAGTCGATCCAGGTGCAGGATCACACGATCGTGGTGGGGAGGGTGGTGCGGGCGATCGCCCGTCCAAAACATGCCGGAGAAGCAGCAGCCACGATGAGAGACCACCATGTCCAGCAGGACGCCAAGGATTTGTGTTTGACGTATGCGGATACGCGGTTTTGGGAGATGGGGAAAGAGATTTGAACGCCTTGTTTCCCCCTTGAGTGGTATATATTGGTTGGACTTGGATTTGTATGTTATGCTTGGAAGATAGGGCTTGCGTAGGTGGCTGTTGGGAATTGTCGGGTTGGTGGAGTTGGAGTGGGAGTGGGAGTGTACTGTACCTATACCCTTGTTGATTGATTCATTGGGGGTTGTTATATAAAGATTTTCGATTTACGGAATATATACCAGATGACATAGAGGTGTGAATGGCTCGTTGGTCTAAGATGGATGCAATATAGTTGGCTACTGGCTGTGCAAGCTAGTTACGCGCTGCCACATTACATACACTACAGATACTACAGACACTACAGCATTAGTCGGATGCACTGAACACAAGTTCTAAAGTTCATAGATCTCTAGTCCTGATTACTACAAGCAGACTTCATGCAACAGGTTTCTTTTATCGCAATGTAGGAAGTTTAGACTCTACTTAATGACACGGTTTTATTTGTTCATAGGCTTGCGATAAGAACCAGATCAACAAGCATCGCAGCTCCAGGCTCAACCAACCCTGTCGGTCCACCAAACCCGAAGACATACGATCACCCACACAACCTGGAGCATCACGTATGAAGATCAACAAACACGGAAAGGAATTCAACGAGTTTTGAGAGTAAGGTGTCCCAGAGGGAGAAACTCCACCTCAAAATCTTAGTTGCCCTTGCCAGTCGAGCTGGGACTACCACTGCCGCTGCCGCTACTGCCACTACCGCCGCTTCCACTGCCACTGCCCCGGCTGCCGGTCCGCTGGAACGGGCTAGCAATGGGTCGGACACCCGCACTTTGAGCGTTGCCATCTGAGCCAGAGATGCTCCGCTTGTCAGCAACCGAATCCGACAGATCGAACTGATAAGGGTGTCGACGGCTGTGGGCGTCCACAAAATCAGACCCATACAGACTGCTTCGTGCAGATCGATTGGAGAACGAGCGGTCCCGTGTAGCGAAATCAGCATCGAAGTAGGTACCGTTATGGCCGATTGGAGATGTCGGGAAGTGGGCAAGGTAAGACGGAGCCTGAACCGGGCTGGCTGGGTGAGACAGCGAATCACCGACAGGGGACGAAGTCTGCTGAAGAGGGCTGGATTTCAACGCGGGGAAACTCAGTCCTAAGATTGATCGGGTGGTGGGAGCAGCCGTCAAGGCGGCGAGGGACAAACTGGGTGCATCGGTGAGAGGGTTCGTGCCGGGCAGATTTCCTTCCGGAGTGAGCGGAGCGGGATCCAGGAGCATCTGCTGCTGTTGCTGTTGCTGAATGGCTTGTTCAATAGCGGCAGCTTGCTGCCAGAGTTGATTGGTGCGCAACTGGTACTCCTGGACAGACTGACCGATGCTGGAGAATTGCTCGTTGAAGCTGACTTCCAGCTTGGCTTGATCCTGTTCCCTTGCAAATTGTTCCGCAGCACGACGCTCCCTCTCGTTAAGACCCTGTGCGTTAGCAGAGACAATGCGCTCGTACTGTTCATTGACGCGAGTCCGGCGGCCCTGAAGGCGTTCTTTCCTCTGCACAGTGGAATTCAATTCACTTTCCAAAGATGACACCTCACGGGAGATTGCAGTTCGAGCAGCAACGAGTTCCTCCTTGGCCAGATTGAGCTGTTCCAACTCTTGGTCGAATTTGGCCTTCTGGTTTGTCCATTCCTCGAGTTCCTCCTCCGGGACGTTCTGCAAGGTGTCCAGCTGGCTTTCGAGTGCAGCGGTGGCCTCCTCGGTTTGCTTGATATTCCTTTCGAGCTGTAGCGAGCGCTGCTTCTGTCGATTTTCATCCGTACCGCTCTGAAGCCGGTGATTGAAGTTTTCCAACTCTTTCCGGATCTTCGAGATTGCGAGCTTGTGATCATTTTTGGCCTTTCTCAGCCGAGAGCGTTTCTCATTCAGCTTGACCTCGGCGTTGACGATCGAATTCTTGAGTGTGGTAGTCGGGGAAGACGGACGATAAGTTGGCTGCGGAGGAACTGATACCGAAGATACTAAAAGTGGCGTTAGTGATATTGAAATCTATTTCGGAGAGGCTTCGTAGTACCTTGCTCTGCGTCATTTGCGGCGGGGGTCTTGACGCTCATGACACAGATTTCCTCGTCAGTATCGCTCCGCATGAAAGAGCAGGTGTAGGCGCAGTTCGGCGCGAGACCCGAAATTTCACCCCGCCAATGCACAGTGTGTGAGCCCTTAGACGAATCCTGTACTTTGTTGATCACTGCGGTCGCCCACAGTGCACCGTTAACACAGACGTAGAATGGTTCCGTTTCTTCTCCTCCAAGACCTCCTGCTTCGCAAGCTCCGGAAACTGAAGAATCATCGGGCGAAGCAAGATCGCCCGCTGCAAACTTGATGGTAGAGCTATCAATCTCGGTTATCCAAACAAGCCCGTCATCCAGAGACACTCCTTGTAGATCCTCTTCCGTCATTGCGAGACCTCTGCCGGTTTTCGATAAAGCCCTAGAATGCTCATATTCCCTCATTACCGTCACTTTCGTGCTTGCGAGTGCGGCCCAGAAAGGCTGACGATTCCGAACCTGGTTCGCCTGCCTCCTGCGTTTCTTGGCCGAGATCAGTCTATCCCGACCGTCCTTGTGAGTGGCGGGCGTGACAATCTGACCATCGGCACCGATATAGGAAGAGACACTGGCGCCGGACTCGAATGCGGAATCGATTTGTGTTTGCGAGCCGGCGGATGCTTCGGTGTCCACGCGCTTGCCGTTCCGAGGGGGTACCGGAGACCGGTTCTTAGCCATCGACCGTCTCGCCATGGCAGTACCAGCTTGAGCCAATATATGCACCGCAAGTAGACTCCGCATCCAGCTCGGAGAGCTTTGCGGTTCGGTGCGTCGGAATTCGGTGGGCATAAGGTGGGAATACTGCGAGAGGAGATCGGGACTGACGATTTTGGAGGAGAGCAGATGACCTATAACAAAATCCTGTATACCTTTACTGCGGATAAGATGTAATACGAGGACGATGCCAACACAGAGCGCATTGACCCCTCCATTTTTTCCAGAGCCTCCGCCGCCAAGAGTGATGGCGACTTGCACGTGAGCGAGATCTAGAGCAAAATTCTGCGCCCAGGTCCACATGAAGAGGCCCCAGAACAACAGGCAGAACCCATCCATCGCAATCATTGTACCCAGCGATGGAGTTCCGGCGGGACCCTGAAAGATGTCGAAGTTGGAGGTCAGGGAGCCGGAAGACGCGCCACCAGGAGGCATGAAGGTCAAGGAAGCGAACAAGAATTGAACCAGAGTAAGAACCATAGGCGGAAGCTGCAGCAGAAAGATCAAGATCGCGATCGTGTCGTACATCGGGCAAGACTTGAGGATCGTGGAGGCCAGTTGGAGCGGGTTAATCGAAGCACTGGAGGCCGACCTTTTGGTACCGGTCACCGACTTGTCCGTCCGACGCGACGCCTGGGCTGCGAGTCCACCATTCTGCGGCGCCGCACCATTCGTCTGACCATATGACATGTCCGCGCTGCCTTTTGCGTATCCATTCAGTTGACCTCGTCCGTTACCCTCCGCCTTGGAAGAATCAGCGTTTCCGTTCACCTTGCTTGTGGTTGCGGCGGTTGAGGTTAGAGCCGAGTCGCTGGACGAGCGGGACGGTTGCCAGTCGACCTGGGTGGAAGGGCCAGAAGTCGGATTCGAGGTGCTGGCCGAGGTCCCATTCAGATTTCCATTCGACTTCTGCTTGTTCACTTTCTTTCCGGGGCCGACAAGACCGTTCTCATTTCGATTGCTATGACTCTTCCTAGCCGTAGCCGATGAACGTGGCATGGACAAGGGAGCCTAAGTACCTAGGTCCGAGTCAGCTTGGCAAGAGGGAGCCAAGGACTTGGACCAGGCGAGAATTGAAGACGAAGACAGCGTCGGAAAAGGGTACGGGAAGGGGAGGGGAGGTCGGAAAAAGAAATGAAGGCGCGGGAAATGGTGAGCAGAGATGATGTTTAATTTTGGGGGGAGGGGGATGGAGAGATAGAGAAAGGGAGAGAAGGGTTTCAATACAAGGAAGCGTGCGGGAAGGAAAAAAAGGAATGACAGGGAAAGGATAAGAGAGGAAATGGACGGGGAATGGGATGGAGCCAGAACTAAGATGAGAAAGGAAAGGAAAGAAGAAATGGGATTGGATCAGAATTGGGTAGAGGGGGGTGGATGTGCAGGTGAGTGAGAAGTGGGTTTGTAGGAGAAGAACGAGTAAGGAAGAGAGTAGGAGAGATAGAGAGAGAGAGAGAGAGAGAGGAAAGGTGGCGGGGGGGGGAGGGTGGAGTGGAGGGGAAAAGAGGTGGAAGAAGGTAAGAAAATGAGAGAAGTGAGAGTAAGAGAGAGAGAGAAGGGAAAAATGAAGGTAACTGCCAGAGGTTTGGTTAGAGACTTTTGGGTTTCTGGATAGACGAAGCGGCGGGAAAAAGACCAGGCAAAAGCTTGGAACGGATCGTCAGAGGGCCGAAAAAAAAAGAAGGGTCGTCTCAAGGCAGAAACAAATGGAGAGCCTCAGGCGTCAATACTCTACCTTGTATCGAAAACCGTACAGTACCTGACATTACCATACGTGGCTCGCACTGCGCCGGATTCCGGTTGGCTGATGAGAATGGGCTGATGGATGCAGGCAGGACACGCCCGGGCATCAACTGTCCAATCTCTGAGTCTACCACCAACAGCAACTAACTACTATACTCACTCATCTCGAACAACAAGCTATGTGGCTTGTACTGCTTGTACTTCTTCACCATTACTATCTCGAAGCAATTTGAAAGAGGACAAATTTCCATACATACATGCTGACACAAGACCAGAAGCTGACACCCGAAGCAATCGGTTGTCTGACGGCTCGATGCAGGAGAAACTAGACAGCTGGCTCTTCAGCCACAATCTCGCCCTCCCCCCCCCAAGCTGAGACCAATTCAAAGGGTCTCTCTCTGTTTTCAAGGCTGAGACTAAAAACACTTCTATCCGAAACAGTCTTTGTCAGTCCTTCCAACAGTTTTGAGGACAATCAACAAACGCCCACCTCCGATCTTCAACGGGCCGCTCACCCGCCTAGCCAAACTACTGTGCATGCTGCCTCTAACCCACCACTACACCAGCACATGAGTACACTACAGTACACTACAGTACAGCATCATGATGGCATCACCGACAGCATGCCGGTATCTCTCACATGAACAGTACATCTGAATTCGTTTTCTCCCGGCCAATATGATCAGCGGGGTCTGAATGTCAGCCTCTCTGGACGGACCGACAATAAGACGAAACGGGCTCGTGAGCCTACGTGTTCGCCCCGGCCTGGCTGCAATCAAGCTATCTTGATAGGCCTGCGAAGGACATTGTTGCTCACCCTCTCACGCTTTACCCCTCCTTCACGCGCGTTCGCCCACTGATTCTGTCTTATGCTCTTGGCTTTTGACATGACCGGGGTTGATGCGCTTGGTCCAGCGTTAGGGCACAACTAGGCTGGGCGATCTGGCGATCCCATCCCACGTAGGCTTCTCTTGTGAGGAGGGGGTAGGAAACCCGTGTGCTCCTTGAGATGTACGAGGAAATGACAACGGACGCTCAATTCTAGGCCGCACTTGGGGTACATGCAGTTGAAACTCTACCCCTCGCATCATTTGGTCATTCCGTCAACTTGCAGTCGACAAAGCCCAGATAACAAACGAATAGCCGAGAATCCAAGGGAAGGTGATCTTCGCCAGACACACGACCTCACTAGATGTTTCAGGTCTAGATAAGCGTCTTTAAGTTCTAGCACTGGTCTTATCGGGCTAGGGTCAGTGACAAGTCAGTTGACAATCGCTTGATTGCGCCACCAGTGCATCATCCGTATTTGTAAGGACAAGATGCATTGCAAGTTCACCTTTGAATTTACAAGATCTAGACAGGGTGAAATAATCTGGGGACGTGAAGAATGCATGCGAGGTCGTCGCAGCTGTTTGAATATACGAACCTTGAGGTAGCCTGCGGTTGTCCGAAGCTGTCAAGTGTGGAGAGCTCGATTACCCTGGAGAGAGCTGTTTGACGAAACCGGTACCATACCTGAAGATACGGTATTTCATCATCGACCGACCGCCTGTTGGATAACATCATCTAATATCATGGCCTGCCATGTCTCTCCAGCACCTCCCACTTCAGGGCCGTCGGAACGAAAGGCGATATCGCTGTCCAGTCTGCATCGCCCAATGGGCCAGCAAGCCCATGCGCTTGTCTAGGGTAAATGTGGAAGCCAGGGTAAATGGGTTTGTTCAGAGACAGGGGCAGGGAAGATACAATCCCTGCGGAGGGGATCGACCGGCCATGTCCCCGAACGGGCAAATTGCGTCCAGCTCACTTTTGACTTGGCCCAGCGGTCGATTGCGACCCCGCAAGTCTTGTCAGATGATGGATAGGCTTGGTCATCCTTGGCCCGTCGACTAGATAACTACTGTATCTTTATGCCCGTTGTCAGTTGCCAGTAGATCTTGCTAAAGGGATATCTAACCGCTGGAATGAGTAGGTCAAACGGTAATGCCATCAGGCAGTCAACAGCAAGTACTCCGTAGGTTGTGGGTCGATCATCTAGAGATTCCCTTCCCCGGATATCTACTCATGTAGCACAAGGCAGGAAAGACTCTTATTAATCGCTCCCCCATTTCCCCCTCCAAGCAAGGATCAAAAGAGTGCTAGGCTATGGGGAAATCCTCCTCGAAAAGGCAAAGTCGGATTGAAACCAATATACTCACACAGTAATAAGATAAGGACCTTTCCAGGCTATCGATTCGATAAAGGCGAAGGTCCAAGCGTGAAGAAGCCAATCTGGCGATCCGAGAGCTGTAAATAGTCTTCATTGGCCGCCTGCCTTATACTCAATACAAACTTGTGGTGACTAAATCGTGTATAGAATCTGTGCGGAGAACGGAGTAGAGCATCCCAACATCAATCAGTGAGATTTTCGCCGGTCATGCTTGATTATGTACGGCTCGACAAGTTGACCACCTGCCTGCCAGATGGTGAGATGTACCCCAGAATCAGATGTACAACTTTCTGTACGTATGATACGGCCATCATCCTGCAAGTGGCATCAAGTGCATATTGGAAACCTCCCACATGCAAGGGGGGGGGGGTGTACTGTACATCGGCGGCGGTTGAGTCCAGAATCCGTCCTCCTGTGCCACAATTCGAGACATTCATTTCTACCTGGGGTCTCGGCTAGATACAGTACATGGAAGCAGTTCATCTTGCAAGGACCCAGCAACGATGGAGGTGATGCCGCTTTATGCTCGTCGAACCTGAAGCCGCGGTACAGTACCATAGGACTTCCTCGGATGGAGATAACGATACGGTAAAGACTCTTCGCACCAAGTCTCCGATTCCCTCGTGGCCAATTTCACCCAAGGTCTCTCTGGTTAAACAAAGTTTCGATGTACCTTCTTCCACATCCAAATCCATAACCGTGTATAAGAAAGATGCCGATATGCCAGGACAACAGTAACCAAGGCCATCTCGGTCCGGACGGGGACCGGCAAGATCGCTGTACTTCATCGATACCATACCGACAACTTCACTCAGCCTCGGTCCCGCGCGAATCTATTTTCGGCGAGCCAGAGACTCTTCACAACTTTCACAGGCGAAGAAAAAGAGGCCCACGCAATGTGGAGACTTGTCCACTTTCCCACCCTCTTATGTGGCGCCGGCCGGACCCAAGGAATCTCGAGCCTTCGACCTTTTTTTTTTTTTCTCCCAGAGTCCCAATTTTCGCTAGCAGAGCAGTTTTAGGCTAGCCTTGCTAGAGAACTAGAAACTAAAACCGCCAGAACTTCCAGCGGAAAGGCGTCGGCGATCATCTACTACTTCCAGACGGCAAACCCTGGTCTGCGAACTCGCACTATCTAGACTACAGTCGGGCACAACTTCCCCCCTTCACTTGCTCCTTCCCCTCAATTGAAGTGACGGGCTGGGGAATTGAAGCGATACGTAGAGAGAATTTCTTCCTTCTTCATCGTGTCACTCCGAATCCTGACAGGGTTTATCCCGGATCTCCCTTGGGACGGGGATCGATGGGCTGATGAGAAGAGACCTCTTCCAGAATATTCACCCATTGGTCAACGAGATCTGGTTTCGATCAAGCTGGCTGTCAGTGACTCACTGCTCTCATTTCCAAATGCAAGCAGAAAACCTCTTTTCTCGGGACAAATTCTTCAGCGATAGACTACCGCCACCAATCATAAATGCTCCAGACCCTTGCGGAGGACTGGATGGGCTGAGTCGGGACGGTTCGTCGTCGGCTTTCTTCCGAGATTCCTTTGAACACCATTCGAATCGATCGGTACCCAGGTGGGTAGCAGAAGTAACCTAAACATACATTGCCAGACTCGTAGGTATGCATGATCCATAGCATAAGATTGGCACTATACAAGCGCTTCGTTCAAGGCTTCGTCGAAGTCAAGAAGTAGCTTTCGCGTGGGTACTGAGTAGCTATATCTGGTGTATACGAGTACGACGAGACCAGGTCAGCATGTGTCGAGACTTGACAGCCTAAGAGCATCAGGGACTAACTTAATTAGCTTGCTGACTGGCTAGGGTGGAGCACCGCCACACTCAATGAGAACATATCAGCTTTGATCCATACTGGCAGGCATTGCATTGCGACAAATCGCGACTGTTTCGGAAGGGAGGTACCATACCGTCTAGTGGTACATACAATACAGTTCCGGTGGCACAGAGCTAGTTACGTCCGAACAAATGTCTACATGTGACAGTGCAGTTTATTCTATAGCTCGCTAAGCGGCTCTATACAAACTCGTGCTCACTTGCTTGCATCTGGCTAACATCTAAACTGGCAATCACTGCCAACGCCTTCTATCACCGGATAGCCAAAGCCTCCATGTCTCGGTTCCACTCAATCAACCACAGGGTCTGGCCCGCAAAGCCACAAGTTGGTGGAGGGGAGGTCCTCACTTCCTGGCAGATCCGGTATCCTCAACGGCATCCTCCCGATCCCAGCTCTCAACCTCCAGCGCCCGAACCCGCGCTTCGATGTCCAGGATGCGCTGCCGCCAATACTCCTTTGCCTGCTCTTGAAGCTCCCAGGTCTTCTTGAGCTGCTCAAACAAGAAAGGTGGAAGCGCGGTCTTCTTGGCCTGCTTGTAGTCATATGTGACCAGATCCTCGTGGACGCGCGCGGCGGGTCGGGAGCGCGCCTCCGAGAGAATGATTGCCTGGAGCTGGAATGCATACGGTGATGCGTCGGGCGCCGCAGGGTCGTGAACCAGTTTGTGATATACCGTAACTTGGTCGGGGTAGGTCATCGGCTGCGCACGCACGCCAACCCGGCAATCAGTTTCGTGAAATCGTTCGGGGGAGCGGGTTCTGGTCATACGAATTTGTAATCGATCTTGATGCTTCGCATGATCAATCCGATCCCTCGGGAGCTGACAAGGTTCATCCACTCCTTCTTATGGGCCGGATCGATGTGCATCGCGAAGTTGCGGGTGAAATACACACGGGCGGTTTCTGCGTACCGAGCGTAGGTGACATTGTTGACATGCCCTAGAATTCCTCGTTAGAGTGTTTGGCGGACTTGGATTGGGATCAAAGTCGGATCCTAGGTAAGAGAGGTATATGTACCCTGCCGTGGTGGTTAGGAAGCTATACATAGAAGCAATTCATTGAGAGGGATCGGCTTACCATGCTATCCTATTGCGCCGCAGCGACATCTGGCTGTTAGCACGGCTCCTAAACGCTTCAGCGGGATGCGAAAGTTGGCCATCGTACCATTTCACCCCATGCGACAGCCTGCTTGAACAAGCCTCTTCTTGATGCATCGGTCAGATAGCCCTCGCTACCCGCGACGAGCTCCCGCCAATCCCGCGCGATCTGTTGCAGTAATTCGCCGGATTCTTGAATTTGTGACGGCCTAAGACCGAACATCATGCAGCGACCGAGTCTACGTTTGGTCATGGTCAGCCATCGGGGATCAATGCCGTGAGGCTTCTTCGTGGTGGGGCCTGTTGCCGAAAGGGACTTCGCTGTCGACGAGGGGGCATTCTGCGGCGAAGGAGAGGTCGAGAGAGACCGAATAGTCTTTACGAAGGATTGAGATTGTAGGGAGAGGCATTGCCTTCTCAAGCTCTGTAGCTGTACCATGGTGGTGACAAGGGGTGTGGTCAGTAACTATAGCATCGATAGGAACCGTAGATGGAGCTGTTGCTTGGATGGTCTCGAAGCAATCTTTCAAGCTGGTCGGTTAGTTCTCCGCCGGGGAGCTGTTCGGTTAACCCCACTCAATCACTCCTCTTCCGTCTCCCCGCGGCCTTGCAGGGCCGAGGCCAGTCGAGGCCACAACAACAGAGGCTTACTTTGGGAATTAATTCGATGGAATCAATATATGGGCCTCTAGGGTCGCATATGTTCAACTCTGCAGTATATATCTGCTATCATTCATGGTGGAATTAGCGTCCGTCCAGCGTACAGCGTCATATACAGCGTCATATTCAGATCGCAGAGCCGGGTTGTTGGGTGGCACGAGCCAAATTTATGTATACGCTGCTACCTTAGGAGTACTCTACATGACCACCATTTATTTCTGATGCCCAACTAGCTTGTACAAGCACTTCATAAGCTATATGGATCAATCACGGATTGCATCTTCCTGTAGGATTGATTGTAGGCTCGAGGAATACAAAACTGGCCGCCGGGTGACGACGTCACCGGTAATGTTCCGGCGGAAGCAAACAACCCCCATTCCCACCAAGCGGCAACAACCCATCGTCGCCTTCCTATCTTCCTCATCTCGTCGTCGCTATCTTCCTGCCCAAAGACCGTTCACTGTTCAACATTCCTCACACTGAATGGATCAATCATGACTAGCCCGGAACTCCGCTATCAAGTTATCAATATCTACAAAGGTTGGTGATATCCTATCTCTGACAGAAGTTTCGACTGCTGTGCTTAGCAATTCCTAACACCGTAACTAAGCCTATGACTATTTGACTGATCGATCGACAGAGCTCCTTTTCCTCGGCCGCAATTATCCTCTAGGCTACGACTACTTCCGGAACAGGCTACACAAGGCGTTCAGCAGTCAGGCACACCTGGATAATGAAGAGCAGATTCGGAAAGGTATAGCACGAGCGGAGTTCGTCAAGAAGGGTGCGTTATCCCGCCTCGCTTGTTTGCAATTGCAGTAGCTTCATTGAACCAACTAATAACCCATTCAATCATCTAGAAATCGAGGCTCTGTAAGTACTACCCATGCCTTTACTGCTCCCGTCTGCTCCAACACCTCGCCGACTAGCACTGATCCACGCTACCTATCCACTTATCCCGCCCCCAAACCCGACGCGGTTGATCATAATTTCTTGATATTTCATATGGATGTACAATCTCAATATATCATTATGTCATAAACTTATAAACAAATGGGTGCACTGTGAGCAGTGATACTGATGGAAGCACACAGCTACTACCTCAAGCGGTATCGCACGTTGAAACAGCGCTATGAGAACAAATAGCATCCAACCATCCGCATCCGACACACATCGCAGCAAAAATTATACAGAAATGAATATTATGGCAATTTGAACCAAAAAAAAAAGAGAGAAACGTGGGGGTATCACCAATATGAGAAGAGAAATGGTCACGGTTCCTTTTTTTTCTTTTTCCTTTCCTCTCATTCGCCTGAACACCAAACGAGTTCACGATCCTGGCCGCCGGCAAAGGCGCCTATATCTTTCGACCCCACCAAGCACTTACTTCCAAGCACTCCCCGTTCGCGAGGCCATCCTTCTGGAACAAATCGGTCATCATTGCTGCCCACCAGCGATCCCATTCGTCCTTGCTCTTCCCGCTGGCCTCCATAAGAATGTGCTCCATGCCTTCTATCATTTGGATGACCGTCAGAAGCGCAGTGCGTCGGATGGATAACTGATCGGCCGTCAACTGTCTTCGAGTTCCACCACTCGTTTCCTTTCCATACCCCTCCCGTTCCCAGCGTAGTTCGCCCAACGGAATGGCAATGCGACGACTGTCGACCTTCTCGAGGACGTCTACCTCCGCATTGAAGGATAGGCCCATCGTGGCGCATGGTAGAGCAGTCAATTTCCGCTGATCGAACGCTTTCTCAAGCCAGGTATTGTAGTCTTGAAGAAACTTGTTCTGGGCGCGCGTGAATGGCGTGGCAGACGAGAAGGTGTACGTCGCGGTCGCATCGGCGGTCTCTTGTTCTCTCGAGGCCAGTTTGCGAGCGGGTGCCGGATTGGGCAGCAGAGAGCGGAACACCCAGTCGGAATCCCAGACTTCCAAGATACCCCCGGACTTGAGAACACGCAACGGCTCGCTCAATCCCGAGGCTTGCTGGGCCGGACTGGAAGGACACATACCCGCATCCTTGATGAAGACAAAATCGAAATAGTCGTCGGGGAATGGCAGGCGGGGCTTGCGTAGGTCGTGACGCTTGAATTGCCAATTCACGCCCTTTTTGCGCAGGTCGGGTGCGACGGAGACGATGTCAATGCCGTTGAAGGACACGGTGCGGTGGCCGCGACGGGCGAAATAATCATGGCACATGCTGGACCACAGTCCTGAACCACAGGCGAGTTCCAAGACTCGCTTCGGGGCGCGGTCGGCCAAATGTGGGTTGCAGAAGGGCCCCCCGAAAACGCGCATGAGCATGAGCGAGCGCAAGGTCTGTCGGTGTATCTCAGGAAGGTCGCAGGGAAGAGGATACTGGTTGTCGGGGTCTCGGAGATACGTGCGATCGCCATGGCGTATCAAGGGAAAATTGGAGTAGTCATTGAGGGAGGAGAGGGAGGAGGTCGACGTCGCTGCCAGGGTTATACCGGTCGAACTGGCGGTGGAATGAAGGTCGGAGCCCGAAGCTGCGGCAGGCGCAAGGACCGCCGGTCCATTTGACATGATATCCATTTCGGAGGGTTCAGGTGGAGTGGTGGATGCTCGTCAATTGAGGGGACCTGCTAAGAACGAACGATGTGCATTCTTCCGCATACAAACAGTGGCAGCGCAGATCGGTCACGAACGGGGCAGGAGTTCGATTAGGAGGGACATGATACGTTAATGGCGACAGAAATAGAGTAGGAAAATGGCCGAAACAAGCGAGGCTGACAGTATTAAATGTGGTTGTGGTGGTGGTGGTAGTGGTGAGGGAGGAGGCAGTGAGTGATGATGAATGTTACGCAGCTCGGACACCGTTCCAGGTCAATCTGACCCATGGAAGGAGAAGGTGTTCGATTAAAGGAGGGGAGAGCGAGAGAAAGAAACGAAAACAGTCAGGCCTAAAGGAGGGGGGCAAAAAATCAAATCAAATCAAATCAAATCAGAAAGAAAAATTAGAAAACCACATTGTGACAAGAAAATCGAACCGCCCCGGCTCGATGACCCCTTAGGGCCACTCCACTTGTTGCGACGCAATTTTAGTAGTTTACTTTAGTGACTTCGTAGTTTACTATCGTCGACTCCAGGCTTAAGTGCAGCAGTGAGTGGTCCCGGCAGGCCAACGTTTCTGGAATGGACCCGGCCTGGCCTTAATTGTTTTTTCTCCCCTTTGACCCTCTTGACTTGCCTGTTAGCGTGGACTGAAATTGAGTATTTATCTATTTCCCCTCCTCACCGTTGAAACGGCTCTTGGAGATCTTGGAAATCATCGTCTAAAGTATAGCACCGAATACTCGCCGAAATGCCCCCTCGGAGACCTAGCCTAGGGAAGCGATGAGTAGCTTTCTAGTGGTGGCGGCGGCAATCTTCGCCCTACCGCCAGCTCCACGAATGAAGCCGAATCAAATCATATTTCCTACGCCAGGATGATACGAGAACAAAGTACATTTGAGAAAAGCAGATCTTATACTTGTCCAAAAGGTATATCTATCCCAGAACTGCCAGCACAGTACTCCGTACATACTTGCAGCACGGCATCCGAGCTCCCGGAACCTTTTCCCCGCGATAGATAGATCAGGACAAACCCCGATTGACTGCATAGATTGAAATGCAATGCAAGAACGCGCGCGAGAGAGAGAAAGGGCATCTGATCCGTCTGGTCGGAACTTTGACCTTGAGATAGTTAGTCCATGACAGAAGTACTTTGCAGGAAGTTCAAGTTACCTATCCGCATGTATACTAACTACCACAACTGAGCCCTTTTGCTTTTTCGTGTTCGGCCTTGTTTTCCAAGTAGTAACGTTAGTTAGTAGCCCCATCCCCCATTTCCTCACCCGGACAAAGTTGTCTCGGGAAGTCGTGCTAGTCTACTACCTACGGTACTACGGTAATCTAGTACTAACTGGACCATGGTCAATTCCGGGCACGGGGTCCTTAATAAGTTTACTTCAAACTACTACTACTACTACTACTACTACTACTACTACTACTACTACTACTACTACTACTACTACTACGCCCGGCGTACGCGGGCGGGCATCTGAACCCATGAAAATGGGTACCGGTACTTCCGGGGAGTCAATAAGAAACCCAAGGTTCGAAGCGAACACGACACCACACACCCACACCGTGCACGCAGAACTTTCTCTTTTCTCTGTCTGTTGCGGTTGGGATTTGCGAAAAGTTCAAGAAAGTTTAAATTGGGGTTTTTTTCGAAGTGTGGTTTGGATCTATGTCTCACGGAGTTGTTCCTCCTTGACGAACCCCCCCCCCCCCCCCTTCGGTCCCGGGCTTGCTACAGTAGTAGGATTGGCTTAATTGGTTTGGGATTTTCTTTTGCTTCTTGTCTCTTTTGTTTTTCCCTGCCGAGGTGCCGGCCCCCGATCGTCTTTGGTTTTTCTATTTTATTCCTGTTGATTGTCTTCTGCCGGGATCAGAATTCACTATCGCCTTACTGGTAACATATAATTAACTGGTATTGTTACTTGAAGAGAGTGGCTGCTTGGACATGGGTATCTAGCTCGTGGCTGAGTATCTATAATATGACCGTAGGAGGAGGAGGAGGAGGAGGAGGAGGAGGAGGAGGAGGCAGTGTCCTTTCGCCCCTGGGCATCGAGGGAAGAGAAGTATCGGCGCAACTGACGCTGATGATGACATAATCACAATAACAATAATAGTGCATGTCACTACAAGTCTGACATCATGACAACCGACTTATCCGTTTTCCCCCTTCCTTGGGTTCCTGTGTGTGGTGGATCTGCTTGTATGAAATCCCGAAATGAAGATTCCCTCCGGGACGGGGGACGGGGAGGCGAGACAATGGGCGCAGCACGGCGCACAGCGGGAGATGCGTTAACCCATGACCATGGTTCTGTCTTCCGTTGGCCGTGTCAACGTTATAGTTATATGTATCCTGTAAAGATCTGAGGCCTCATTCCCTGAGGGAGAAATCGCATAGTCGAAGGTAACACAACCACCAGGGAAGAAAAACTTCAACAGTGCAACTGGCAGTCTAGATCGTGGCCAGGGAAAATGATTTCCCATGCTGAGTCGACTGACTCAATTGACAAGATGGATTTTCATTACGCACTGAAACCTCTGGGTCGGTCTAACGCCCCGCCAGGCTGGGTGCCACTGGTGGGTGGGTGGTTCTATAGACCGAAGTCACCTAGGCTATGTGCATTGCCGCCGCCCCCCCCCCCCCAAGGAGAAGGAATGGGGGGTCCCGGGGCCACTGACACGTGCTGGCACGGGTCACTTGTTGCCCTGACAGGGAGGGACAGGGAGGTACCACTGCCTGGGTACCAACTTCAGGGTCGGTCACTGACTACTAGTTAGTTGAGATTCAAGAGTAATTGTTTCCAACGCAGGTTGACCCTGCCCTGTCTGTGTGTCTTCTTCTTTGCCCCCCTTGCATTCTAAAAGTGGTGGGGGTGGACTGTCAATGCTTAGATTGTCTCTGCATGTATATGTTTGTGCATCTGTGTGCAGTACTACTGCTATGGCTGCTTATTCGATGGCGATTTGGGGGCAGAATTGAGTAACCAGGAGTTCTGTGATGCTCAGATGGCTTACCCCAGCTTATTGTTAAGTACCTTTTGTATCTTGCATAAGGCTGTTATGGTGACTATCCCGTATAAGTCTGGCCGTGTAGTTTGTCATCTTTCATGTGAAGGTAAACTGAAAGAAGGCTCGACTTATAATTAGTCTAGGATCATACTCAGTATACCCAAAGTGACCAATTGCCAGTCTATTATAGGTGGATAAAAACGAGTCTCCAGGAACAGGTTGAACGCACGCATTGTAAGGCGTTCAATAGAGAACCTGGGTCTTGGATCTTGACTCCAGCGGTCTCGTCTGACTGCATCGGTTGAACCATCCTCAGCCAGGACTCATGAACCACCCTTCGTATTCTCAGTACAGGCAGGATGAACTTGTGCTATCCAATTGGCAGAATTGAATTATAAGAACTTCATAGATCCTCAGAATTGAATCATTGGAATTCAATTATCAGACTTAGTTTCCCAGAATTGACCAGTAGTCATTCAATGTCCTGCGTTAAATATACTTTATAACTATATCTTGAGGCTATAGATACAGCGGTCTTCACACGATGGCCAATATTCAGCACAGTGTCAGAGTACACTTTGGAAAAGCCCCTTAAATACAGCAATACTCTTCAATTACAGCAAGCAAATTTACTCAACTTAGTGAATGTAAAGTTGAAGGCATATATAACTTAGGAACATGAGACGTAGTGAACTGTCTAGTGTTGACAGGATATGGAGTGAATATAATTTCAAGCTAGAGACTGGCTTCAATTGGAGTCAAGGCAGTCTGAGTTGACTGTGGTAACAGAAGCCGAGTTGGCAGATATGTAAACAGCTCAGCTCCAGCTGAGTACAGTCTTTTCTGAACAAGATCGAGATCGAGGTGCCACCTGATTCTGACAGCTCAAGTAAGCTCACTATGAATGTTGATTCGAGCACTCTAGCTGACCCTGGCTGACTCCGCCAGTAGCAACCATCAGTGGTGGCAGTGGCCAGAAGTGAGTGGAGAACCAATTTGACATGACATTGATCATCTGATATGCTCTACCCTCATCCTCCATTGTGCCATTTTGTGTTCTTCCGCTGCGACTTTGCCACCCTTCCGACAAGTGGGTGGACTCAATAAAGGGGCAAGATTAATGGGTTGAAGCGCTGTTTTGAAAACCAAATAGAGAGTGTAGTAATGGTCGACTTCAAGCCCCTGGGCAGAAATCCTGGCAGGCTCAACCCGATGATCGACTGGTGGTGTGAATAGAATATCCTAGAAAGTATGAGAAGGAACCCAGACCCCCTGAGCGCTGTTCAGCGACAATCGCTGGTGATCTTTGGGTAGATGTGCGCATTGTCCCACTGCTCAGGTCTAGGAAAACTCTACTAACCATGCAAGATGGTCGGACAATTTCAGTACTTTGTTTCGTGTCCAGTATACTAGTGTACCTCTTAAGACATACACCTTAAGACAATTGCTACCAAGGGCTGCGAGAAATAGCCAGATCTTTACCCCACTCCAGGTGTCTCTTAGCTTTGAACTGCCATTCTGTAGGTTCCGGTTGACCAGGGAGAAAGGGAAGCGGAGGGTTGTAGTCAGCACCTTTGTTCCCTCTGCGGGGAAGCAAGCGAGATTGTCAAAGAGGTCCTAGTATTTCCTTATATTAAATCGAGATAAGATAGTGTGAAGGCAGGTTGTTGAGCTGTTCAAATCGCCAACAAGTCTCCAATAATGTTGTAGACTGACTGTGAGTGGAGGGACGGCACGGATAAACCCGCAGTCTGGATAAAACCCGATTGTCGATGGACAATAGAGAGAGATATATAAATAGGAGATCTGGCAAGAAGGATGACAGGCACCCCCTACATCTCTTAGTATTGATGCTAGTACTTGTAGATGACTATGTGACTAGGCCCTTGCCGTTGTCAATAGTAGCCCCTCCCTTCCCCGTAGATCCCTGGGCTCCCAGAGTGGTGAGTAATAGTTAAAAGCTACCTGAATATCGATTGGGGAGAGTGAATTGAGGCTACCTTGGGCTACCTTACTACAGTTCTTCAACCCTGGATTGCGGGAAACAAGGGATTTATTGTAGCAGAAAGAAACAGAAATGCAGAAGAGAGGATAAACTGAAGAGACGAAAGCCATAGGCGATCAATATTAATCAATCAATCAATCAATCAATCAATCAATCAATCAATCAATCAATCTAAGCATCAGCTGAAAAGGAAGGGTGGCCTTGGCTTTGCCATTGGCGGCGAACTGCGCCCGCTTGGATGTGACACCACGTGACCCCGACGACCTCCCGCCTTTCGAATGCAAACCAACTTCGGAGCCTCCCAAGGCGACTCCGACTCCCATCTATCTCTTCGAGTCGCTGGCGTCTCTGCTACATCATCGTTTCCTCGATTGCTCGCGCGCATTCCTCACTTTGATAGTTATACCGGCTGTCTGACAGCGCTGCTCAACTTCACATTCAGGATTCTGGCCAGTCAATCGTCTTCCGGTCCTCTGACTCGCTCGCTCCGACCATCCACCCGCCTGCCCACACCCCCTCCGTCGCTTGCACCTCCATCGCCCCTCCGTCCCCCCATCCGATCTATTGGCACTCGAGCTCAAGCTGCACCAGACCATTCAACAAGTGGTGAGAGTCGCTGCACTCGTGATCCCCTGCGTGTCTCCGAATTGGGGTGGTTCCGCCTAGGACCCCATGTTGAAGAGAAGGAGAGAACGTATCCAGTCCCCGAATCCTCCTCTCTCTCCTGCCACCGCCGTCACCTTCTCCAATCCGGCTCGTCCAGCCTCAATCTGCTCTAGAACCTTTCCCCAATCAGTCCACTCACGGTCTCGTCTGCCACGTTAAATGGCAGATGGTACCTACAGGTTCCAGCAGCCTGGGGCCGGGCAGTTCTTCTTCCAAACACAAGCGCAACAACACTCTCACCAACGTCACCTCGCACGGAACGGGACCAACTCCCCGACTGGAAGACTAAAATTTAGCCACGAGACCCCTTCACCCTCCCGCTCCCCTCCTCTCAGCCAAGCAGCGGCTCTCAATCCCTTCACGATGTACAGCCAAACCCACCAAGGGCAGCATGTCATGATAAATGGCGGCCAGACCCACCAACGCTTTGGCATGCAGATGCCTAAGTTCCAGTCGCAAAGCCATCATCCGCATCCTGCTCAGCAAACCCATCACCATGCCCACCATAACCAAGCTTCCCACAACATTAGCCACCAACACAACTTCTCCAGCGGGGCATTGGCTGCCGCTACTCCGCATTTCACTCCCGGTCCCCTCCAGAACGGGGCTCATGTCAATGTTGAGGAGGACCTCGATGACTCCATGAACGAACATTGGCAGCAACAGCTTCAACTAGCGGCGGAGTCGCGACAGGCCAATTCACCCCACTATTATGCTCGGACAGTTGCTCAGCAGACTAAAGGCATTCAGATCGCGCCCAGCCATCCCGAACCACAAGAGAACGGAGGTGAAGAGAGAAATGGCGTTGTCAAATCAAAAGCATCTTCGCGGCAAGGTTGGCATGCTCTCGATTTCGGCGGACAAGGCTTGCGGGCTTTGTCGTCGTCCCTCTTCAGTTACACCTTTCTCGAGAAATTGTATCTGAACCACAACAAGCTCAAAACTCTTCCTCCGGCCATTGGACAATTGCGGAAGTTGACTCACTTGGATCTTTCGAGCAACGACCTTACCGAGCTTCCCGAGGAGATTGGTATGCTCACAAGCTTGAAACAACTTCTGCTCTTTGACAACAATATTCGCACGCTACCTTACGAAATGGGTTATTTGTACAGGCTGGAGATGTTGGGTATAGAAGGAAACCCGCTGAACGACGTTTTGAAGTCTCAGATCATCAAGGAGGGCACGAGAGCTCTGATCAAGTATCTGAGGGAAGAAATGCCAGGTATGTATACGGCTCGGAGAATGTCCGCATCATCTAGTTGATAACTAACGTTTTAGCCATAGTTCAACTTTCACCACCTGATCGAGACTGGGTCATTCTGGACGAGACCGCGAATTCCCGCAACGCTCCCACCGAGAAGGTCACCGTTCTCTCTTACAACGCTCTGTGCGAATCGTCTGCCACTGCATCCCACTTCGGCTATACTCCTTCACGTGCGCTGTCATGGGAGTATAGACGAGAGCTTATCCTGAGCGAGTTGAGGTCCCACGATTCGGACATTGTCTGTCTTCAGGAAGTCGACCAGGGAAGCTACAATGGATTTTTCAGGGAGCAGCTGGCGTACAACAATTACAAGGGTGTTTATTGGCCTAGAGGACGCGCCATGGGTATGCAAGAGGAGGAAGCCAAGAATGTCGATGGTTGCGCTACCTTTTTCAAAGACAGCAAATTCATTCTCCTCGACAAGCAGTTGATCAACTTCGGTCAGACGGCCGTACGGAGACCCGACGCCAAGGGCCAAGACGACATCTATAATCGCCTTTGGCAGAAGGATCACATTGCTGTTGTCGTATTCCTGGAAAACCGGTTGACTGGCTCACGCTTCATCGTTGTCAATGCCCATCTCTACTGGGATCCCGCTTTCAAGGATGTCAAGTTGATTCAAACGGCCATCTTGATGGAAGAAATCACCAAGCTCTCCGACAAATATGCCAAGTGGCCTGCCTGCACCGAAAAGACGGCGTTCCGCTTTGCTGATGCAGGGGGCAATGAGACCGAAAACCCTCCGGAATGCGCGCCATCCATGGAGTATAGCAGCGGCGAGCAGATCCCGCTCTTCATGTGCGGAGACTTCAACTCTGCGCCTGGATCAGCGGCCTACAATCTGGTCGCCAATGGCCGGCTTACGGAGGCACATCCCGATCTGGAG